ATTCCAAGATTTTCTCGTTCCCGTCTATTTTAAGTATCATATAGTGGGTCAAACGGATATACACACACTTAATTTAACATAATCATTACGAAATCGTTCTTCCTATATCGTTTTCTTTATTTACTGCCTGAGAAATAAAATCAAAATAACTCGAAAACGAAAAACGCTAGGTACCAATAACTTTTATGAAAGTCAACATATTTTTTTACGTAAATTAAAAGGTGTAATAAAAACTATAGCATTCCATTTAAAATAACGAAGTTATGGTCTACTTCCGGTAAACCGGAAGTGGCAGCCATCTTGAAAATATTTTAGATCAAAAGTTCTGACTGAACAACCCATACTACCAAAATTTCAAAACTGTACGAATACTGGAACCTAAAAAAGTTCTAACGAACCAGTTACCTGAGACACCCTGTATACGGATTGGCAATCATGGTAAAAATGACAAAAATGTAGTTACAAAAAAAAGTGTAAACCAGTTAAATGTGCAGAGAGCAAGAGCGAGCTACGCTTGGTATCAACCTAAGAGATAGAATCAGAAAAGAATGATTTCCAAGGAAGAAATGGCGTCTTGGACATAATAGCAAGACCACCCTAGATGGAGAACAAAGTTGACTTACTGGCGGCTAAGAATTACAAAACGCAGTACGGAGGGACTCCCAAGAAGATGGATAGACCCGAATTAACGAAGAGAATTGCGGGACCTATATACTTTGAAATTATAACCATAATGGCCGGATAGATATGCCGAATAATCGGATATCCGGCATCCGGTTTTTCGAAAAACCAATATCCGTTCCATCACTACTTGAGACTATCTCCATCTTTTTCTAGGCAATTAAAATATATCTTAGACAGAAATAGTTGAGAGTAAAATATGATCTATCACGGTTCACGGTGCTATCATATTTGACATTATATATACAGGGTGTCTCACGTAACTGGTTCGTTAGAACTTTTTAAGGTTCCACTATTCGTAGTGGTTTGAAATTTTGGTAGCATGGGTTGTTCNACCTCCATTACTAACCTAACATACATTTAAATGTATGTGGTGAAATAATCTAAGTCGTACGTCCATATCTTGATTCATACCATTTTTAAGCGATCTGTCACTGCCAGCTCTCGTGGTTTCTACTATAGTAATATATACGGATTGGCAACCATGGTAATGACAAAAAAAAAGTTTAAACCAGTTAAAGGTGTAGAGAGCAAAAGCGAGCTACGCTTGGTATCAACCTAAGAGATAGAATCAGAAAAGAATGATTTCCAAGGAAGAAATGTCGTCTTGGACATAATAGCAAGACCAACCTAGATGGAGAACAAAGTTGACTTACTGGCGGCTAAGAATAACAAAACGCGGGACTCCCAAGAAGATGGATAGACCCGAATTAACGAAGAGAATTGCGGGACCTATATAGTTTGAGATGGCCCAGGATAGAAACGCATAGAATCATACTATACTAGACTTATTATTCAATGAGAACGTATTAGTTAGAAGCCGAGGCAGTAGTACTAATATTAAAAAAAACAGACACTGAAGTTTATTTTCTACGATGAATATATTATCTGGGGGCAGAGGTAGCTATGCTAGGTACTAGAGTGCATCTAAGTTTAAAAAGACTTTAAATCTGTTACTGGAAGGAATTGTGTTATTTAATTAAAGCAGCACAGCTGTTGAAACAGTAGCGCAATTGCTTAAAAATAAATAGTAAACCTTATTTTTCAAGCAGAACGTAAATATTACAAGCCGAGTCTACTAGCCAATTCTCGAAAAGTGGAGAGAATAGCTTATTTTTTTACAACGAACGTATCAGTTAAAACAGTTAATTGTGTTATTTAGTAAACTATGAATTAATTGTTTAGGTCCCAACATAGCTGAGTTATCCAGATAGTGTAGCGAAAGTACACAACAAAATATTATGTCCCAGTTAATATCGTATCTTGGCAAATTAATATGGTATTAATCTAAAACTGGTTATCGTCAATTGTGATCAGTTAATATTCTTATGATTAATATTATATGCACCAGAAATTATAACCATAATGGCCGGATAGATATGCCGGATAATCGGATATCCGGCATCCGGTTTTTCGCAAAATCACTATCCGTTCCATCACTACTTGAGACTATCTCCATCTTTTTCTAGGCAATTAAAATATACCTTAGACAGAAATAATTGAGAGATATTTGACATTATATATATTTCACATTTTTACTAATCACGTCATCATCAGGAGCTTTTTCCTTTAACCATTTTACACACATTATACTACAGGTGTTTCTAAATATCCTTTGATTTCATAATTTAACACTTAACGTACAAAGTTCACAATAATTATTTTTGGCAAATCAACATTTTTTACAACAAATTCTTTTAACCTCGTCCCATAAAAAGAAAAATCGAACCAAATGATGCATTTAAAGGTCGTTAAAAAAAAACATTGAATGTAACCTAACCGCATTCGATTCTTACTCAGTTTTAATTCGATTTAAAACCTCAAGGAGATATTAGTAAACAAACAATCGTTTAAATACGTTTTCCCCATTTCATTTAGCATTTTTATAACTCGTTTAAGTCGCTCGGTGCATGAAAAATTAGAAACGTTGTTTAAAAAAAAAATATCATACGTTTTCTCCCTACCACCGTTTTTAGAGTCGCGATGATTCAAGGTAGACCATCGTCCATCCTTCCTTTTTGCGTCAATAAAAAAAATAGGCATAAATACACCTGTTAAAAACCTTCCACGGTCCAGTTTAAACTTTAACTCTCCAATAACAACACAATTATTATTAAAACTTTAAAAAAATGTTACTTTTAAAAATTAATTTCTTGTTGTGCAATTTTTATGTGTTAATTCAAAGTGGATTCGGTCAACTTCCCCCGGAACGTTTTCGAGTAATCAAAGAATGGAAATACATTAATTTCACATGGCCCGATTTTAACACGTTGAGATCCGCGTTAACCCGAGGCGAATACATCCCTCAAAACGTTTTAATGGCCGGAATAAATTATTACGAAGATTATTATTATTTAGCGCTACCAAGGATGAAATTTGGAGTCCCGATTACTTTGGGACGAATCCCGATTAATTCAACATCAAAACCTTTAATCGAACCATTCCCAAGTTGGGAAATGAACAAATTAAACGATTGCAACTCATTGCAAAACGTCCAAAACGTCGCTGTTGACCAAATGAAACGAATGTGGATCATCGATGGTGGAAAAACGAACACGTTGAATAAAAACCCCACGACTATTTGTGATCCTAAATTGGTTATTTTTAACATGGAGATGAACGCGGTTGAATCGGTCCATGTTTTTCCACCGGAAGTGGCTAATAAGAACGTTAGTTTTTTGTATGATATCGTTATCGATGATGATTTTGCTTATATCACCGATAATAGCCGAATCGAACCCGGTTTAATCGTTTATTCGCGGCTACAAGATAAATCTTGGAAAATCCAAGATGAAACGATGAAAGCTGATGAATCAGCGATTGAATTTACCGTTGATGAGATTCGAATTTCAACCCCAATTAGTATAGCGGGGTTAGCTTTGAGCCCAAAAATTAATAACACCCCGAATCGCCTCTTATTTTTTTGCCCAATGTCGAGCACAAATTTATACTCGATTAAAACAAACTTTTTAAAAGATCAATCATTTATGGCCGGAAAAAAATTCACCGGCGAAATAATCAAAGTTGGTAATAAAGGGGGCCAAACCGACGGGATGAAAATGGACAACAAAGGAATTTTGTATTTCGGATTACTCCCATCGTCGTCGATAATCCGATGGAATTCATCACAACCCTTCGTTTCATCCCAAAAAGTTATAGCGCGTGATCAAAAATTCATTCAGTGGCCAAATTCTTTCGCTTTTGACGATTTAGGGAACATCGTTGTGTTAACAAATAGCTTACAAAAATACATCCAAGGAAAAATGGATATTGAAGAACCCAATTTTCGCATTTTAAAAGCTTACACCAACGGAAAAAGTTACGTTTATCCCGACGAAAGCTTCTCTTACATAATCCAAGATAGTGTAACATCCAAAAACGATCAACCAAACGTTATTTTGACGACTAATAACGATAATAACGATGTTAAGATGAATGAAATCGAGAACGAAGACGTAACCATAAAGAAAATGACGTCAACATCGACAAATTTACAAGTAACAACATTCGGATTTTGCGTTATTTTCAGTTTGACCTTCGGCTTTATTGCGCTAATGTAACAGAGACTATTTTTTTCTTTATTTTTTAGTTTATATTTTATGTAAGAGAGTGTTGTTAAGTTTGATAATAAAATTTGTAAATAACGATCTATTTAAAGTGATTTTAAAATTGATCACGTTGTTTTATTTGCTTTAAAGTTTCCATCAAATATGATGTTTTTTTAATGAAAGTACTAATAAAAGAAAGTATAATTATTGGTTGTTACAAAATAATCAAGTGAATTAAATTACAATTACAATTTTAATTCAAAGAGGAAATTACGACAAAAACAGTCGTAAATACTTCGAAATAACACGTTTCTTTTTGTCGTTTTCGTGAGTAAACATAAATTTAAACTTTAACATCCTATAAAAATGAATCATAAAATTATCTTCTTTGTTTATGATTATTGTTTTAAAATATGTTTTGTTTTTATTTTTATACTCGTGAATTTTTATTAAAAATTTACGTCTTTGTGCTCTTTGAAGGTTTTTTGGGGAAAATATCTTTTTCAAAAAGTTCAATTGCCTCTTAATGGTCTCATGATTTCGTAGAACTCGTATTCATAAACAAATATAGTAGTGAAATAGAATCATACTAAGAAGAAAAAATCATAACATAGACTATAACAGATTCTAGGAAGAGAGAAAAGAGGTTTTTGTCTTATTTTTAGAGACAAGATGAAACAAGAAGAAAAAATGAGATGGTACAATGAGCACAAAGACAAAGTTTGTAAAAATGGAACAGAAAATTTGATAAAGAAGAGAAAATACATTACATTGAGTCCTTGAAAGAATTTGTGAAACATGAAAAAGTGAAGATTCTAAATCTATGTAAGAAGAATATTGGCAGAAATCACAAAAGTTAGATGTCATATTTAGAAATATGAAGAATAGAGAATACCATAATTAGAATATAAAAGCTGCTAAAGAAGCACAAAGGCAGAATGTTCGTTTGCTAGAGAGAAATTGATGCAGAACACAAAGTTTGATGAAAAAAAGAATATACAAGACACGGATTCCTTGAAAAAAGTTTGTGAATAATGAAAGAGTGTGCCAAAAACAAGCAGATTCTGAACGCAGAATCTGCGTAAGAGGATTAATGGCAGAAATTACAAAAATTAGATGTCATATTTAGAAATATTTTATTTTTAGAAATTTGTTTATCTGATCCCTTTAATCCGAAATATATTTGGTTTACTTCTCCTTCTTCTGTGTTCCAAGAGCACCTTTCGGCCATCATTCCACTCTTGATACTCTGCATGTTCTTCTTAGAAAGTCCATTTCCATTGTTTCAAGTTCTTTCTTGCTTTTCGTAGTTTTATCCAGCTTATTACATCCTGTTTTGGATACCTTCCTATTTTGTTGTTTATTTGTAGTCACCATACACTCGGGTCAAAATTGAGAAGTCGTTAAATTAATTATTTAAGGTTGCAACTCTTTGATAACTTATTCATTATCTTATTGATTAGATGAGGACTAAATAAACACCTTAACACGTTAAGTGTTGATTTAAAAATTACTTTTATTCAAATATTAAATTAGTACTTTAATTTGTTTTCTAGTAAATAATACTTTTTTTTTTCTAATCGTGTAAAATAATTTAGTTTCTAATCGATGGTGGTAAAATAGTGGGGGAAAAGCTCATTCCTTTCAGGTGGTATGGGACAATGGAACACCTTGCGATAGGGTTGAAGGCTCCATCGCCGATTGGTTGGGGCCGCGATGGTCTTTTTACAACCCGCCGCTTTTTCAACCCATTCAACAGTAGTCGGTTGCGGCCCCACCAAAAAGCTTTGTACTTTGTAATTTTTCATTTTTAACACATGAATAAAAATCTATTTTAAAAAAAGAAAAGAACTTTGGTTTTGAAAAGAAGAATTAATTTTGAACGTTGTGAATTACGTGGAATAAGTGTTAATCAAAATAAGGATTATCATTATTTGGTGGCTTAAAAGGAATATTTTTTGAGGGGGTAAGAAAATTGTTTATCTTCGTGTCAATCAAGAACCACTTAAGTATCACTCAAAACACCCTCGATAAATAATGTTTTAGATTAATTTTTTTGATTCTAATAATTTTATTATATTTTTTTTTAATTAAAGAGAAAAAAAATAATTCACCTGTCATTTAATATCACCCCACGTGGGAATAGACCAACGATGGGTGGTCATTTTCGTATTCTCCCTTATATGAAGGGAGGACAATTTAATGTCCACCTGATCGATCTGATCTAACCTTATTTCAAATTCCCATCGGAATAGGGAAATAAAAGAGGGTTTGCAACCCCGCAGCGGCGGTTCGACCCCACGAGTGCCGGCAGTGGCACTTATCAAGCGCGATTAATAATTGATCAGTTCTCGAGAGCTTGATTTGCTCTAGTTTGTCGAATTGAAAGAAGTCGAGGGGTGTTTTATCGATCAATTTTAACAAAGTGTATTCATTTTTTATTAAAAAAAAAATAACGATAGGAAATACTCCAAGAAATTTTTTAACAAGGAAAAATACACCTCTTCTCATCCTGCAGTTTTCTTAATTAATAAGAAATCCACAAAGATATCATTCTCTATGTTCATAAGGAAACTCTAACAAAATTTCTGGATATCCAAATTATCTAAAACCTCATTTGGCACTTTTTACTCCATCGGTTATTATCATTAATGATATAACTTAATGGGATTTTAAATTTCGGTTAATTTGATACCAAACTCGGTACATTTTTATTAAAAAACGTAAAAGTTGTGTTAAAAAGGTGATAATAATTCGCCATCTTTGATAATAACTCGATTAAAATAATTATTACCTCTATAAATAAACGAGATAAAAGCATAATTTGGAGTCTTTTTTAAAGGAAATTCATTTTTGATTCGTTTAAAATCAATTATATCGTTATCTGAGATTATATTGTTATTATTACCATTTTTGATGATGTCTTAAAATGAAAAATTTTCGATTTGAATCGGTATAAATCGATGGGGTATCAAATTATTATCGATTTTATATCTAATTCGGCGAATTTTTAACCATTATTATTAAAATTATTGTTATTACCTTTTTATTTCATCTCTTATTATAATTATATCCCAGTTAAACCGAAATGATTTGAAGTTTATTATAATTTGATGACAATGTTAAGGTATTTGATATAAAAATTGATAAAATTGTTATTTTTATTACCTTTTTACTCCATCGGTTATTATTATTAAAGATATAAATTAAAGGGATTTTAAATTTCGGTTAATTTGATACCAAACTTGGTACATTTTTATTAAAAAGCATAAAAGTTGGGTTAAAAAGGTGATAATAAGTCGTCATCTTTGATAATAACTCGATTAAAATAATTATTATCTCTATAAATAAAAGAGATAAAAGCATCGAGTTTGGACTCTTTTTAAAGGAAATTCATTTTTGCTTTGTTTAAAATCAATTTTATCGTTATTCGAGTTTTTATTATTATTATTACCATATTTGATGATAACTTAAAATAAAAAATTTTCAATCCATACCTCCATCTCTCTTCCCAGTGACCAAAACGTCCAGGAAATGTAACTATTTTGCAGCCTCTATTTCCATGATAAATTTCATCATGAAGCATCTCTTGGAGATTCTTCACCAAACTTCTCCATGTAGAAAATAGTGGACCTGGAACATACTTCGGTAAGCTTTCTGGAATGAGCTTCTGGCGAAGACCATCCACGGCATCTTTGACTGGCACTCGAATAAATAGAGATTCCACATCGATAATACTGAATTTATACTTTTGATTAACCATCCATTTCCAAAGTTTCCTTGAATCTGTCTAGCTGACGTATTGATCTGGCGATGAGTAATCCAGCAGGGGCATCTTCAAAACTTTATTGCCATATTCGTCCTGGCAGAAATTTCGGAAACATCTAAAGAGAGCAGAAAAAACATTTTGTTTGACAGCTGTCACTTTTAATGTGACGTATTGTTAATATTTAGTACAAAGTTTAATTTTTATGATTATAACAATAAAATTTGGCCGCAAATTATGATAAATTTAATACTAATTATATTAGAAAATAATTTCTTTAAGTTTATTTATACCCACATTATCTAAAAACAAATATAAAGTAAAGCTCAAAGAATAGTGAAGTAAAAACCGCACGTTTTCTTTTTAGCCATGGAAAAATATTGATCGCCGTTCCAGTGAAACGCCAGGTAATGGTCAGTCCGTGACGTCAGACCGGTCGAAACCGGCACGCTCCGTGGGCCGCACGGATCGAAACTGCTTCTTCTTCGCAGGTTCGAACATGCCATCAACGTTTCCACCCAAAATCAAAATCCAATCAACACTAATTTTAGTGAAAAGAAGTGCTTTTTAAAACGAGAAGAGGAAGAATTTCATTTTAAGAAGGGGAATCCCACAACAAACTAAAATTAATAATTAAATATTTACAAAGAGATGGGTAAGTTTTTTGATTACTATTAAAAAAAATTTTTTAACCCTTTTATAATAATTGAATATAACTTATAATTTTCTTTTCTTTTTTAGTTTATTAAAAATCAATATTGTTGAATAATGAAAATTGCTCATATTTACTTATTTAAGCTCAATTTAAATGAAAAAAAGCAATGAAACATAAATTACAAAAAAAGATGGATCCTTTAGATATAACAATTCCGTCCATATCCAACGAGATAACAATCGGAGATGCAACATATCTCAACAACGAGATCCAACCTTGCATTGAAATCGATACAAGTAGAGTAAACTTATTGGAAATCCCCGATAAGCAAGTCGTTAAAATCGAATACATGATGGCAGATGGTAACATCACAAATGAATTTATCGTCAATAATAATTACAACGTTCTTTTGGACGAAAGCAATAATTATTTGAACGTAATTAACGCGGAAAACTTAATTTACGCCGAAGCAGCCGGTGTTTCCTACAAAGTCATTTCAAATCAACCCTCAGAAATATCAAAGATATCAGAAATGTCTGAAATTTCAGAACCAGAGGAGATGTCCACTTCGATTATCTCTGAATCAAATGGTAACGAATCGGAACTAATAGAAATAAAACAAGAACCGAATTCGTTGTCGATTCCGTCGCCTCAAAGCGAAGATGACCAATCCGAAACCGATTTGACCAGTTTAAATTGGTTGCATAACATTACGAATATTATGGCGGTTCCTAATTTGCCGACACCGCCGGTTTCGCCTAAACCGAAAAAGAAATCCGCCTCGAATTCTAATAACCAAGAGGATCTTACCATTAACATAAATTTTTATAAGAAAAACGGCGATAAGAAGCCTCCGTTTTCTTATGCGACGCTGATTTGTATGGCTATGGGGAAAAATGGGAATAAAATGACTTTGAGCGCTATTTATCATTGGATAAGGGAGAATTTTTTGTATTATAGAAAAGCACATCCTAGTTGGCAGGTAAGAAATATTAGTATATAATAATTATTAATTATTATACATGCGAATTTCATATAACTCGCAATATATGTATGCACTTGCACTGTCCCACATAAAATGCAACATAGCTGGCTTTTTGCATTAAAAAGAGGATACTTTAATTAATAATTGGTGATATTTCCACAAGGATTCTTCAAGAAATGAATTTTATAGCGAATTTTGAAAGAAATCGATGAAAATTGCATCATCGAAAATTTTATCGAAACTTCAAATATTGTTTTCACAAAAACTAAAAGTTATTTTTCAAAACGGGTTGGTTCATTGGAAAGGGGATACTTTTATTAACACTTTGGGAAATTTTCATACTCCTATTCCAAGAAGTGGATTTTATACGAATTTTTAAAACTTAATCGTCGTAAATTGCAAAATTCGAAAAAATTGAGTCATTTCAAAAATTTATTTCTCAAAAACTTAAAGCGATTTTTCAAAACGGCTTATTGCATTAAAAAGAGGATACTTTAATTAATAGTTGGTGATATTTCCACAAGGATTCTTCAAGAAATGAATTTTATAGCGAATTTTGAAAATTATCGATGAAAATTGCAACATCGAAAATTTTATCGAAACTTCAAATATTGTTTTCACAAAAACTAAAAGTTATTTTTCAAAACGGGTTGGTTCATTGGAAAGAGGACTTTTTTATTAACACTTTGGGAAATTTTCATACTCATATTCCAAGAACTGGATTTTATACGAATTTTTACAACTTAATCGGAGTAAATTGCAAAATTCGGAAAAATTTACTCATTTCAAAAATTTATTTCTCAAGAACGGAAAGTGATTTTTCAAAACGACTTGTTGCATTAAAAAGAGGATACTTTAATTAACGTCTGAAGACGCACGGCTAAACCCGAAACTTTCTAGATCTAGTGTTAGTTCTAGTTTTACACTAGCACTGTTACTATGTAGAATTAACACTATACATAGAACTAGAATCATTTGGGTTTAGCCACACGTCTTTAGAAAAGAAAAGAAAGAAAAAAGAAAATATCTTTCTATAATAAATTGTTCTTTAAATAATTTAATTAATTTATTTATTTTTTTTTAGAATTCAATTCGACATAATCTCTCATTAAACAAATGTTTTGTAAAAGTGGCCCGTTCAAAAGACGAACCCGGTAAAGGCGGATTTTGGCGATTAGATTTAGAACGTTTAGAAGAATCGCGACGTTCAAAACGGCGCTCAAATTTAACAGTTCGCGTCCCAAGAAATCGACACCCCCAAGAAGTTTTAAAACCGATTAAAAAACCCAAACGATATCGACCATCTCAATCAACGGGCGAAAGAAAACACAACATTTTATCGAACATCTCAATTTGTGGGGAGACAGATATCGAGAATTGTGAGGCTTATGTTAGGGAAAAAGCGGAGCGTGCACGGAAAGAATCAAAAATTGCCGCGATGGTGGGTAATTTAAAAATGGAAAATAAGAAAGGTACGAAAAATGGTGATGAAGATGATGAAGACAAGATTATTTTACCTTCGATGCCGAATCAAGGAGTTATTATCGAGCCGATTAATCAAATGATTAATGAAGATGAGTTAACTGGGTTATTGATCGCTCCGAACGGTTGGGATGAGTGTCAATTGGAAATGTTGGATTCATTGTTGGACTCTTTGTAAGTAAATATAAATGAGGTAAGTTTTATTAAGGGGATAAATCATTGATGTTATATTTATAACTTCGATGAGGAAAATAAATGCCAAAAAAAAATTATACAAAGTCGAAAAAAAAACACAATAAAATTGTGTGTATCACGTGTGTACAGTTTGCGCTTTGTTCTAAACTCTGGTAGATTTTACTCTTCCGTCCATGTCAAATTGTATTGATCAAAAGAAAGTGATTTTAAATACTACGATATCTTAAAAAAATATCATTGTATTATATTTTTAAAGAAAACATAGCTGTTAGTGTGATATTTGAAATGAGATCCGTCCAAAGATCATTAAAAAAATATTTCGTAGATTAGATTGGTAGAAATAAGTATTAAATTTAATATAAGTGAACGAAAAAATTTGACTTATACTTTACATGAAAATGAAAACACATTGTACCTAATTTCTAGTCCGATTTCTTTTCGTAACGCCTCATAAAATGAGGGGTGTTAAGTTTTGTGTGATTAATTTTAAGTTAAAAGTTTAAAGTATCAAGGTGTAGTGGGTTTTGCTCAAAAGAAAATTAAAAATCTCAATTTTTGCGAATTACTCAATCAAAATAAATCAATAAATAAACATTTGTAACTTGTAGCAATATGTATATTGTTGTATGGATTTGTTTGTGAGAAATAAATAGAAGTGAAAAGCTTAAATAAATTTAATAATAGTGAAACACGATCCTTATCCTAAAATATATATTAAAAAATTGTGTATACCTAATTTTATATTGTGTGCTTTAATCCTCCAAAATATAAGTCATACTTGATTTATTTAGATATCTCTCAAAATTATACATATATACTTCTATATGATTTTCTGGAAAATTTAAACAATCCAGACTTTAAAAACACAACATACAAGAAAATGTCAAATACAGTCACAACTATAAGAAAAAGTCATTAATTGTCAGACAAAATAGAATAGTACCAAGAAAAGTCTGGAATTAATCTAACAGGATTTAGATATACAGACGAAATTTGGAATAAAGATTTTAGTTTGCAAGAAACAATCTAGATTTGAATTGGAAAGACTCTAGGTTTTCTGACATTTTTGAACATGTTTTTCAAAGTGACCAAAAAGGTTTGGAATAACACTAACTGCCCAGAATCTTGGGCAATAAGAAGTAATTTTGAATAATGCTGAGAAGACTCCAGGCTGTAAGAAAATAACAGGAATCACAATGATCAAATTCCAAGCTAAAAGAGAAAGTCTGCATTTATACTGACAAGATTTTAGATGGTAAAAAAAGTAAAAATAAAGCAAAAATCATTTATTACCTCTCAAATTAAAACTAACTTAACTATCTGAAGATAATTTCTCCCAAAGAATTGTTAAAGTATATTTGACATTTTGAGGTTCAAAAAGTAAAGCAAAAATCTTTTTTTACATTTGCTTTTATATTTTGAAATTGTCTTGATGAATTATATCTCAAATTAAAGCTAAAACCATCTATTTTGAGATTAACTTAAGTATATGAAGATAATAATCAAATATCTCTCAAAAGACTAGTTAAAGTATATTTGACATTTTGAGGTTAGTTTAGTAAAAAAATTTTTTATGGTTTCTCCATAATAAGATTACCGATTATGATGTATCATTTAAAAAAGGAACGTTAATCATTAATTTGATAAAAAAATTAAATATTTACTTCAAATATTATTTTTTTTTAAGTTTTAAAAACAATTTGCTATTAATTTAGTAACTTTTAACATTTAACAGTTGGTAGTAAATAGCTGTCAAAAAAAAAAGAAATCGTTGACAGTTAGTTCTCAAAACTCGTAGATAAATCACGTTTTTTCTAAAATTTCGGTTAAATAAAAGCCTGAATAATAAATCAAGATAGAAATCGGACGAAAGGTAAATTTCCTTGCAAATTTAGCTATAACCACAATCTCTCTCTATAATAATTATTTAAAAAACAAATAATGGCTGACGATTTACAAAATTACAAGCTGCAACTTCAACAAGTCGAAGCGGCCCTAGTTTCCGATCCAGACAACAAGGAACTTCAAAAGCTGAAGGTCGACTTAGAAGAGGTAATCGAATTAACGTTGGATTTGAAACAGAAGGCTGAAGAGGCTGCCAGTCAACCAGAATATCGAGAGGTAAAAGCTCATGGTGAAGACGATGAAATCACAAAGTCATTACTCGCCGTCGAACAATTTGTCGCAAAAAATAAAAAGAAAAAAATGTGGAGAGTCGGAGATATATGTATGGCGAAATGGAGCGATAACAATCAATATTATGAGGCGAAAATTGATACGATTAACGCTGACGGACAGGTGAATGTTACATTTGAAGCTTATAAAAATAGAGGTGTAACTACTTTAGGGGAACTTAAAGAGTTTACAGGTCAAAAAAGAGTATTGACTGAAGCGGAAAAACTTAAACGGGCTAAAATGAACAACAAGGAGTATTTAAAGAAGAAAAAGGCGAAAAAACAACAACGATTCAAAGAATTGGAAGAGGAAAGGGAGAGTGAAAAACAAAAGTGGTTAGCTTTTACTACAAAAGCCACGAAAAGTAAGAAAAGTGGGATTAAAGCTAAAAGTATATTCGCCAGTCCGGATACGGTGAATGGAAGAGTTGGAATTGGTACTTGTGGAATTAGTGGAAAACCTATGACTGAATTTACATCGGCGGAAAAGTGGAGAAAAGGAGTTTAAACAAACATTATTATTATTAAGATTATTTGTAATATAAAAATAACAATTTAATTTAAGTTTTTAATGCGAATTATTTTTTTTTGTAGTAAGTTACTAATTAATAAAGATTAAAAAAATAGTTTTGTCCATGACTACCTTATAAATGAGTTTTCTAATATAAATTCTAAATATTAAAATATAAAGGGAAATATTAACGGTTATAATTTCATTATTGTTAGGTTATCCAACTTGACTCGGTTACCATGGTGATTAAGATCCAAATATTGCAGGTCCTTGTCAAAATTGGATTTAAGTTTTTTTTAATGAAAAACACATAATTAATTGGATTTAAAGGTTTTATTTAATTCAAAATGGAGAAATTATAAGCAAGGTAAGTGGATTAAATCAAAAAAAAAATTTTTAGATCAATTAAAATGTACAAGAATTTAGGGTTAAATAACAATTAAAACTAGAACTAACACAAGACCTAGAACTAGAAACAGCCGGGTTTAGTAGTGAAAAAAACTTTCAGTTGTCAATGTCAACTTTAATTTTATTATTATATTCGTAATCTTCATAAATAACCTTTAAAGTGAGTCCAAACTGGACGAATTTATCTCAAAAAACCAAAAAGTTCGGACTTTCAACTTTTAATTTTGATATATTTGCTAACTTCATAAAAAATCCTTTAAAATGAGTCCAAACTCGACATATTTAACTTTAATATTAATGGAAATACAATCACTTCCGGTTTGAAACGTCAATTTTGACATATTTGTCAACTTCATAAAAAATCCTTTAAAATGAGTCCAAACTCGACATATTTAACTTTAATATTAATGGAAATACAATCACTTCCGGTTTGAAACGTCAACGTCAAACCTTTAAAATGAGTCGAAAGATGTTAAACCCGAAGTTAGCTACAATGAAGATAGAACAATTTAATTATTAAATATTAATACCAACCTTAATTTTTAATTTTTTTTTATTGTATTTTTGTTTTTGTGATAAATGTTGGGACAAGATGGACTCTCACATCAAGGAGTCATCGAGGTTGCCATTCCAGTTGGATTTAGGTTAAAATGTTATTGGTAATGTTATTTTTTTATAAATATGTTTTTCATAAACATTTTTTTATAAACAAACAAAAAATTCGTGACCTAATTTGAAATAAATTTTTAAAATAAGCGGGGTTAAGTTTAATGATCCGTCGTTAGAGGGCGTTGTCACTCATTTTAGTTAAAATGGCGTCCGATAGTAAATGTTTAGTGATGTGTTGACAAAAGTTTGCACCGATTAAAATGTCCAATACACCGTCGAATCGTCGAAATGGGGCACAAAAAATACGACTGACAAGTAAGTTAATCGTACAGAGTCCCCAAAGCAGTTTGTAATTGCGGCATAAACGTGTTCGTGCGCGTTTTTTTTGAACCAGCAATATGGCTTCAATTATTAAAGGGGGTCTCCTCCCAGCTAGTTGATTAATTAACCGGCATTTAACGATGGGAGAGAGATAAAAACTTGGTGATTTACATCCTGTTAATTTAACGTTTAATCTGTTTTTCTTGTTGCAGTTCTGTGTGCGAAAAATTTGGTGCGAAAGGATCTTTTTCGTAAGTAAATAACTTTCACTTAAACATTTTTATAAACATCGCTTTTCTTTAGAGAGTTTCTACGTAATAATAATTAATATCACCATTTCTTTATAATTTTCATTTCAATTCAAGGTCTCCCAGATCCGTTTGCAAAGATCTCGGTTGATGGAAGCGGTCAATGTCATTCAACAGAAACTGCAAAAAACACTTTGGATCCGAAATGGAATTCCCATTATGATTTATACATTGGACAAAAAGACACCATAACAATAAGCGTTTGGAACTTTAGGAAAGTGCATAAAAAACAAGGAAGTGGCTTTTTGGGCTGTATTAAAATCCAAAGCTCACAAATACAATGTTTAAAAGATACCGGATGTACGTATCAATATTATTAATTAATTTTTAATCATAAATATTTCAATTTTAGATCAAAGATTAAACTTAGTAAAAGCATCCCAAGATGATAGCGAACTAGTTAAAGGTCAAATAATTATTTCGTTAATGTCCCGAGATGGCCCATCTGGTGGAATACCGCTAGCGGTGGTGGGGCCACAAGGTGAATTAAAAGGCCCATCAGATAGAGAAACTTCACCTCCGGAACCTACAGAAAATGTTTTACCACCAGGTTGGGAGGAACGTCGCACCGAAAACGGTCGACTTTACTACGTTAATCACGTCACCAAATCAACCCAATGGATTAAGCCCCAAAATAACCCAAAAAATCATCATCGTGATCGACCCCGACCGTCTCGAACAAACAATAATCCCACCGTAGACCTCGGCATCAACAACAACAACAATAATCACAACAATTCCAATGAAAATAATAATCAAACAAACGAAATTGTTAATGCAACGCCCACAACAAGTTCATCTTCAAGTTCGACGTCGCCGGTTTCGCCTGTTGTCAGTCCACAAAAAGAAATAATTAGGCGCGAAAGGGAGTTTAACGCCCCACCGATTTCAACGGCCGTTATTCCGGCGCCGAATAATATCAGTTGTAACGCTCCCGCGAGTTCTTTAAGTTCTGGAAGCGGAAATAGTAGTGGTGGTGGGGATGGGAACCAGCCGAATGGAAATACTCCGCGACAACATCGCGAGAGGAGACAGAGAAGTGGGGAGGATGGGCGGAGAAATGAAGGGGGTAGTCGCAGGAGGAATCCTAGGAATCGGAATGGGGTGGTTAATGGGAGTGTGCAAACGCAGAATGCTACGGCGAGCGGATCAGGGGCAAGTGGAAATGGAAGCAAATTAGATTTACCAGCTGGATATGGTAAGCAAACTTTTTTTATATACAATAAGACCTCTATATAACGAAATTGGNATGGGGTGGTTAATGGGAGTGTGCAAACGCAGAATGCTACGGCGAGCGGATCAGGGACAAGTGGGAATGGAAGCAAATTAGATTTACCAGCTGGATATGGTAAGCAAACTTTTTTATATACAATAAGACCTCTATATAACGAAATTGGCGGTTCCATAAAGCTATATAGAAACTTTGTTATAAAGAATCTGTCTTTTGCTATGTTTAAAAACCTATAGAATATACAGGGGTGTTTCATGAGGAGTGGTACATATGTTAATATGTTATAGATTTATTCATTTTAAGCAGAAAAGTTCCTAAAAACATGTGCTCAATTCTCAAAGGTAACTGAGATACAGCCAGTTAATGCATAAACCGATTTATTTAAATGTGTACAGGTGGATTTTTAATTTAACACTTCAGAAAATTTGGTGAATACAAACATGTTGCTATCTTTATTTGAATTAAAAAAAAATATATGAGCGCCATCTATCAATAATTTATTAAGTCATTTAATAATATTAAATATGAATAAAAATGTGAAATAATGCAATCTATTCCAACTTTTGTGTAAAACAAATATAAATTAAATAGTTCAACAAATTTATTTGTTTCAAATATTAGAAATATGTTTCTTTAATTTTTAATTATAATGTACAGGAAACTGTAAATTTTATTTCTTTGAGGACACTAAAAAAAAGTTTATTTTTAGCTTTATTCTAAAACAATTAGAAATAGACCTGTCAAACTCTACATTTTTGTAATCAGAAAGAAATGACGAAGTTAATAAGCGAATAATCAGTGGTTGCTTCCATTTAAAAAAACGAAAATTGTCGTAATATTTCAAAATCTAAAACCGAATTTTTTTTTTTGACTACGTTATCAAATTCTCTGTAAAAAAGTGTCCATATAATGTCTTAGTTATAATACTCCACCTATAATAATAACCAAGATAATTTCACTTTTGGTTTTACGATATTTTGAATTTTGGCTTCTAGGGGAAAAACAAAAGACTTTGAGGTTTTGACATGTAAGCTACTTTTTTTCTAACTCTTATAGGATTAGTGGGATAAATTCGTAAATAATTTTTATAGTCTAATAGTGAACTCAACTTAAGTTCTTTGAGGAGATTTGCGTGGTTAAAAAGTTATCTCTTATCCATACTCTCTGCTTTGTNCATGTAAGCTACTTTTTTTCTAACTCTTATAGGATTAGTGGGATAAATTCGTAAATAATTTTTATAGTCTAATAGTGAACTCAACTTAAGTTCTTTGAGGAGATTTGCGTGGTTAAAAAGTTATCTCTTATCCATACTCTCTGCTTTGTTTTTCTTTTTCTAATACCATCTTCCGACGCAACAGCAATTATTATAGCTAAACACTTCTTCAAACGGCATGTTTCCATGCGTACACAACATAAGCAACTGAAGCTTGTATAAAATTGTGTATAGTGTATGGGTAACGTTGTTTGCACATTAAGTTGTTGTGCAACGCCAGTTTGCATGTGTATGGGGCCTATTAATAAGACAAAGGCGCTAGACTCCATATGCATAATAAACAAACTTTTTTCGCTATGTAGAAGTTCGTTATATAGAGGTCCTACTGTATTCTTAAGTAACAATGTGTAAGGAATAATATTTTTTTTTTTATTTTTGGTATAGAAGTACGAACAACCCAACAGGGACAAGTTTACTTTTACCACATACCAACTGGAGTTTCAACATGGCATGATCCGCGTATCCCGAAAGATTTGGCACCTTTAGGGTTATCCCTTGATCAATTAGGACCTCTCCCCGCCGGTTGGGAAATGAGACACACCGCATCCGGTCGGATGTATTTTGTGGATCATAATAACCGCACGACGCAATTTACCGACCCTAGATTAAACACTCAAATTTTAACAAATATAATTCGAACGAAAAATCATTCCGGTACTCCATCAAATAGCACCCCAAACAATTCAACCGCAAATAATACCACAACAACAAACAACGCATCTTTATTAAATAATACGGTTATTGCAAATCCAAATGTGACAAATTTGGTTAATAATACGAATAATTTACAATCACCACCACCACCACCACCGGGTGGTGGTAATAATTCAAATCCATTAGAAAGAGTTACGCCAAATACAACTGTTACAACAAATGTTAATAATACAACTCCGATGTCTCCAAGAAGTCGACCAACTGATTCGGATTTACCACACGGCTTGTTAAACGATTCCGAGTTATTACCGAAATATCGCCGAGATTTAGTGGGAAAATTAAAAGCTTTAAGAGCGGAATTACAAGCTTTACAACCGCAAAGTGGTCATTGCCGATTAGAAGTGTCACGTTCGGAGATTTTTGAGGAAAGCTACCGTTTGATAATGCGCATGAAACCGAAAGATATGCGAAAACGACTTATGGTAAAATTTCGTGGGGAAGAAGGTTTAGATTACGGTGGAGTCGCAAGAGAATGGCTCCATTTATTATCAAGAGAAATGTTGAATCCACAATACGGTTTGTTCCAATATAGCCGCGATGATCAATACACGCTACAAATTAATCCGGATTCATCGATTAATCCTGAACATTTATCGTATTTCCATTTCGTTGGGAGAGTTTTGGGAATCGCCGTTTTTCATAATCACCAACTCGAAGGTGGATTTACAACCCCGTTTTATAAACAATTATTAAATAAGCCGATTACGTTACAAGATATCGAAGGGGTTGACCCGGAATTACATCGTAGTCTTACTTGGATGCTCGAAAATAATATAAACGGCGTTTTAGATACAACTTTTTCGGTTGAAAATAATAGTTTTGGTGTTATAAAAGTTCACGAACTAAAACCGTCAGGCGCGACAATAACCGTAACCGAAGAAAATAAACGAGAATACGTTAAACTTTACGTTAATTACCGCTTTATGCGGGGAATCGAACAACAATTTTTAGCGTTACAAAAAGGTTACACCGAATTAATTCCATTAGCTTTACTTCGACCGTTCGATGAACGCGAATTAGAACTCGTTATAAGCGGAATAGCAACGATTGATATCGAAGATTGGAAAGCAAACACGCGTTTGAAACATTGCACGCCGGAAACGCCGGTCGTACAGTGGTTTTGGCAAGTCGTGGAAACGTATGGGGAAGAAATGCGAGCTCGATTATTACAATTCGTTACAGGATCTTCCCGGGTTCCTTTACAAGGATTTAAAGCGTTACAAGGAAGCACTGGGGCTGCGGGTCCAAGATTATTTACGATTCACTGTGTTGATGTTCCAGCTCAAAACTTGCCAAAAGCACACACTTGCTTTAATCGCATCGATATACCACCTTATGATAGTTATCAGGTGCTTGCTGATAAACTAACACAGGCTGTTGAAGAAACTTGTGGGTTTGCTGTAGAGTAAGTGTAAAAAATTGTATAAAAGATAAGACTAAAATGACTCATAATGTTAATTGTAATTTTTTATTCCAAAAATAATTACTTAACATTTTGACATCCAACTCAGTGACTATGTAATTAATGTGTTATGGAAATATTTTAATTTTTTTTTAATTGAAAATTTCCTTAACATATTAAGTTTGCTTTAAATACATGATTTGGAGATTGTTTCGATTTTTTTATTGTTGTTAAGTAGTTCTTTTTTCAACTTAACACATTGATTACATATCGCGTTGGAAGGTAAATTACACAGTCATTGAGTTAAATTTCTTAAACATCACAGCAATATTATTCTTTATTGATCAATTTTTAAAAGTAAAAATGATTTTGAGCAATACCTTTAACTCATTGTGTTAATTTTTAAATTAAAGTTTTTTTGATTGTATTAATTGGTCCAAAAATAAGATAAAAGTATACAGTTTTGAGAAAAATAATATTCAGCAGTCATTAATAACAATTTTTTTTATAAGGAACGAAATTGGAGAACTCAAAGTGTATTGCTTAACGTATTAACCAGACCAAGAAATTTTGCTTAACTCATTGACTGTGTGAGATCTCATTGTTTATGGTATTTTATTTTTTTTTTTTAATTTGGTTGAAATGAAAAAAAAAAATTAAAAGAAAAACGAAAAATATTTCTTAGCACATTTATTGCAAACTGTTTTATACAGGGTGAGTTATTAGTATCAACAAAAAAATATTTTTGTATGACTCATAACTTTCTATTACGTAAAATTATTTTCACTTATACAGGGTGTTCCATTTAAGCGTAACGGAGAGTACGTAAATTTATTTAAATGGAACACTCTGTATATTTTATCATATTATGAATACAACTAAATTTGTTTATAAAACCGTATATGTTACTATTTCACAGTGTTTATAGTTCCTGAGATATTCAATTGTTTTTCCAAAATGTGCCTATTACAGGATCTTTTTGAAAACGATGTAAAAACGATATTTTTATCTACTGGCTTTGACTATTATCTGACATAGTTTCAAGGCAAAATTGGAAAAAATGTCGTATATACATGGTTTTTTAAAAAAACCTGCAATGGACACAATTTGGAAAAACAATTGAATATTTCGGGAACTATGGACGCTATGAGTTAGTAATATATACGGTTGTATAAACAAATTTAATGCTATTCATAATATGATAAAATATATAGGGTGTTTTTAAAAAAATCTACGTACTCTTCATTACGCCTAAATGGAACAGCCTGTATAAGTGAAAATAATTAAACTAAAATAATAACGGTTTAGCATCTATCGTCCGCCGGGCTACTAATAATTCCCCCTGTATATTATCAGTCATTGTGTTAATGGTAATTTTGCTTTTTATGAGGAAAAAATCTTAAAAATAAAGAAGTTGTATTATTTTTTAAATATAAAAGTTAAATATAAAAATATTATTTTGGAGTTTTAAAGTGATAAAAACTAAATATTTAATTTAACTAACTTAACACGTTAAGTACCTATCATGTTTCAAGTCAATCTAGTCATGTTTTAAACATCACAGTAATATTGTGTTGTGTTTTTATTAAAATTTGTAATTTTCACTTTAAAATGATCATGTATAACACTTTGACTGTCAATATTCCAATTTTTAAGCATTAATGTTATTGAGACATTAATATAAGCATTGTTATTTGCAATGAACTTATTAAAATTTGAAATTCGAGTAAAAAATTAACACATTGAGTACATATCACATCTCATAATAGAGTCCATTAACACAATGACTTTATTTTTAATTATTACCATTATCGTTTTTGTCAATAATTATCTATTAAAAGAAGAAAAAAATTACGTATTCCTCTTATTAACGGTTTTAAATTAAGAACTAATTTACACATTGACTTAAAACCGAATGAAATCAAAATAGACATTTTTAAATTTAAAATTTGATTGAAAGAAATTTAATTACTTAACACGTTGACTACATATCGCTTCAATTATTTGGTTATTTTTTTATTAATTTAAGTCAATATTGATTGTTGTAACATTGTTTTTGATAAAGAAAAAGTATTAATATTACTACCATTAATACACAACGATTGCTTCCTACACTCATTCTGTTAATTGTTTTATTTTTGATAATTTTATTTAGAAAATTTTAAATTTCTTGAAACATCACGTGTTAGAAATCACTTAATTTTGGTTAAAGCCTAAAATAAGACTGGGCAGTGCCTTAGAAAAGTGAATGAAATGAGTTAAAAAATTAACATCAGCATGAATAATTGCTTATTTCCGATTTTTCACAATTGTGCCTCGCTCAAGTCTCGTTATTTATTATTAAATAGACAATACACATCATTAAAAGTAAATAAAATCTTTAAACATATCGATATTATGTAAATATTAATGTATAGGATGATTGCCGAAACGTGCATTTAAAACAATATTAATTTTTTAATCAATTTTTTTTATTAACATCGGTTAAAGTCACCAATTAATTTATAAGGTTACAAGAAAGAACATAATCTAATTAAGCACAATTAAGTGTAAAACGCACTGATTTTTTTAATATCATTTTTAAAGAGTAGAAGTTAAGGCAGGTTTGTGATTATACGATTTATTTATACATAGATACTTGTATATATTTTTTTTATTAATTAATTTGCACAAATAATTTTCTTTAATTTAAGAGGCAATAATAAAGACTTGATTAAAAAGAATTTGTTAATCTTAAGATTATCTTTCCTGTTAAACATTGAACAGGGGCGGGTTGTTTTTTTTTGCTTCTTCGTTTTTCGGACTGCTTCCGTAGCGGTCGTTTTTTTTGTAATCGTTGCAATCTGTTCAAGTGAGACGTGTTGATAGAATACTCCGCAATTTTTTTTTTTTTTTTTCGTTTTTGTAAATAGGAATTTTAATTTTTAGGCAATCGTCGACACATTCTTTAGTGATATTGACTACTTTTATTATATTATAGGCGATTAAAAACTAGGCTATTTTGTAAAATAAAAAAACGTGTATTTTCAGATAAAGAAATTTCAAATATATATTATATATACAATTAATACCACCGTTATACAATTAAAATAAAAGATTCTTCCGTTCATTCCTCGTCTCTATTCCTTGATTAAGGACATATACATAATAGTATATTATTATACGAGCATATAATGAGGGACTAATGTTAAGTTTATGTCATGAGCGCAGCGAGTGGCATAATATAATAACTCGTTATATGTTCATTCTTTGTCCACAACTACTGTTGAAATTGATTCCATAAATTTATTTTTTTAAATAAATTTTTGAATGAAGTTTAAACGTCAATGTGACATAAATTCAATGTCACTAACTTCACAACAATTTGTCAAAATTAAATGTCAATTTTATGAAACGTCATGGTTTTTTAAGCAAATTAATTAATTTGTGCTTAAATCATACGAAAAAAGGAATTTGTTTAGGTTTTTTTAATATCAAACCTTTAGAAAGTGCTAGAAAATTAAATTAAACATTATATTAATTTAATATTAAATTACAAGTGCCCATTATGTATGGAATATACATAGTAGTATATATCTTGGTAAGTATCAACCTCAATTTTGACATATTTGTAATCTTAATGAAGATATAGTCAACTTCCGGTTAGAAATGTCAATGTCAATTTTGACATATTAATGACATCATAATCACCATGGCAACCGAGTCAAGTTGGATAACCTAACAATAATAAAATTATAAGCCTTAATATTTCGCTTTATATTTTAATATTTTTGTGGTTTACTTCTTAAGTGAAATACACTATAAATAAAAACAGAAATGTCAATTCTTCCAATGACGTCACAGCAAGGCTTTTGCAGGGGTTATGGAGTTGCTCAATGGAAAGAATCATATTAAAGAAATAAAGCATTTTATTCAACATAATCGTAAAGTAGGCACAAGAAACAGTATATAAAAACATTAACCTTGACAAAAAAAAACTAAACAATCATTTTTTTAACCTTCATCTCCATCTATGTTATTAGTACTAGGTGCTGTTTCTCCAAAACAATGTTTAGCTTTGGGATCTCTGTAAGAGTTCTCATGTTGTACACTTTGAGAATTGGTTCGACATTTTGCTAGACACAGCTCAAAATGGTCCGTAACGGAGGCGAAAAGAACGTTGTTTTGTTCTGTAGCTTTTCCGAGAACATTTTCTAAGACATCCTTTTTGTCGGGATGTAAACAACAGCTGATACAATATTCGTAAATGGCGCAACAATCATTGGTTCGACACGTTTCGCAGGAATATTGAATCACAGTTAAAATTTTATCGTTACAACAGCCGTTGTGTTGAACATCATGTCTTGGACAAACAAAACCCCGATCATCGACTATTAAAACTTTTCCTTGTACTGAATTTCGACAGGAGATAGGGTTCCCATCGCTATTTGTTGAATGTTGTTGTAAAGTTCTCCATATGAAGGGTTGGGTTCTTCTTACTGGGACTAAATCGTCATTTTCTAAAAAGTCAGGCTGCGCAACGAAAAAAATTATGTTAATAACGTAATCAATCAATAGGGTGTTGTTGTATTTTAGACACATTACCTTTCCAATGAAACTGACAACGCAATAAGTAAACGAAAACGTGAAAATTATGCCAAGTACAATTCGTCGTCGTAGAAATTTCACGAGAGGGGCGTACCACATTGTAATAGTCCGATTTTAACATGATTACAACTTAATTAGCTGCTAAATGCATTGTTTGCTTGCTTATCAGGTTATTTTAAGATGGGCTTCGAAAATTTGAGGTTATGTTTTTTCAATTATTTTTCGTTGCGGCGCTCGGTTACGTGTTATTATTACAAATGAGGTTCTTGTTATATTATTAATTTGTACCTTTATCGTTTTAGCCCGATTTTAAGCCCTTGGAAACTGTATTAATAACCAATTCAAATAATTAAAGCATTATTCATACTGTTTAGTGATCTTGGGTACGTTCCTTAAAAGAGGATTTATTGCGCAAATACTAAATAAGTTATTAAATAAACATAATTGGGTTATATTTAAATTAGAAATTTATTTGTTGATTTATTATTAAAAATGTTAATTATGTTGTAATATAATTTGGTTGTTATAAAATGATAGGGTGCGATCTAAAACGTATTGATAGCGCCATCTATTTCCGATGATGCTTTTGGTTCCGTTCCGTCTGCCATTTTGGACGCGTCATTCTCGTTCTTAACGTGAACCTGGTGAGAGTCGAATAGAATTTTTAATTAATTGTGGAAAATGTCGTATAATACACGTAGAAATTACTGTAAGTTAATGAAATCTTTTTAAATGTTGTTATTAATTATGTTAAATAGATGCAGGGGTTGGTGCAATAGGACAACGGCGGCCACAAGCTATGCAAGGAAATTTTGTTCATGGCGGCCAGGTGAGTTTCGGTAATTTATTGTTATTAGAAATGGTCGATGCTTTATGAGTTAATTTTTTTATAAAATAAAGTAAAACTACCATTAATTAATGTTTAAGATTATGTAAAAAGATTTTTTTTTGTTGTCTCAGCGCCATCTTTCGGCAAAGATTTGATTTATGAAATTTAATGTAGTTTTTACTATTTCAAACTCTTTTTACTGAATAATTAAAGAGAACTGATGGGATTTTTCTATGAGACAGGTAATGGAAGGTACAATACTTTCACTGCCAGTAGGGTAGTAATACTGATATAGGTTACTTTGTTTGGTGTCTCATTTGTATGTTACACTGTGGAATGATGTACCCTGATCATAAATAATTTTGTGGTACATATTCGTACAGTATAGCTTACTCATGTGGCTACCCTTGTATCTTGACGATTTTGATGTGCCTTATAGTAAAACCATAACAATCTGGACGTTCTGATAAGTTTAGATTGCTTATGGGTTTACTTAATCCTTATTAATACAATAAAGTGTCAAGATATTACACAAAACCTTTACATAAAGTTATCTCTTGGTTGAGATACTTGATGGCAAAGGTTGTTGCACCTATAGCGGTGCTATCCGACTTGACCGGTGTAGTAAAACCAATTCGATCCTGGTCTAATAGCTAAATGCCAACTCCAATCAGCAGGACAAGCAATTTCATGGTCAACAACAACAACAAAAAAATCAAGGAAATCAAAACCAGGTAAATATTAATTTTTTTTAGATTAATTAAGTGCCATGTGGAGTCAGCAGTTTGGACTTTCATTTTCATTGATCTAAATAGCGTTTACACCTATGGCAGAGTAAATTTATAAAATCGTGGAATTTTTGTGGCTGTTCTAGTCATAATACTCCATCTAATTTTATGAAATTGCCTTTGAGAGTTTGCAATTTAAAATTGTTTTTAGTTTGCATTAGAAAAAAGGCGTACAATTTTAAGAAATTATTTCGTTGTAATTAATTTAATATAAATAAGTGTTATTAAACAATTTTGATTTCTTAATAGAAACAAGCACAACAACAAAAAAATAATCAACCCCAAAAGCAAATAAATCAGCAACAAAATCCTGTTAGTAATCTCACACAAGCTTCTCAACAACAACTTCAACAAATACAACATGAACAACAACAATTACCTCCTCCACCAGTTCCTTTAAAAGAGGGTGAAAGTGAGGTTGGTACTCTGCAAATGAAAGAGGAAGAAAAATCTGAAGTTGCTACTTCTCCAAAAACTGCTTCAACTACCAGTGAGAGTACTAAGGAGAAACCGTTTTGGATTAAGAAAACAAGTATGTTTAAAGTAAAATATGAATTTTTATTTGAAAATGTTACAAAATCATTAATTATAAGTCTGTAAGGATATGAAGATTAATAATATTGTTTATTCTTCAACTCCTAATATCTAAATGTTAACAATTATGTTGTACTAATTTAGAGGGAAAGCCACAAAGTGGTGAAACACCTCTCAAGTGATCATTTCTTTATGTAGATCTCTCATACACAGTTTTAACACAGCAAATTACTCTTTGAGTTGTGGTCGTTACATTTGACGCGCATTGTGTACTATTAAAAATATTTTTTTATAGAAAAACGCATATTTTTAAGATCATTGGACAAAGATTTGGCGACAAATAGTGATAAGATTCTTGCACTAGTAAAATTTGTTGGTTTGAATCAACCCAACCCTAAAAATCAAGCTCTTTTTGCAAACAAAGTGGAAAGGTAAAATCAGTGTCACCTTTGTCATAGAAGAAATGATCAAAATGTACTTAATGTAAATCTAAAACATTGTTTAATATACAAATAACACTCTAGGGTAAAGAGTCTATAACACTCTCAACCTTGTAAAGTTTTTGTGCAATACACAAGTTCTGGGATATTTCTACATATCACCTCTTTTACTAAAAAAGTTAACCTAGCAAATTTTAATTTAAAAACATTTATTTTTTTTTTAAATACTAGTACTTTGTTTCATCTAATCATTAATTGCTTACCACTCTTTAGGTCGCTTAATGTTGATTTATAATAATCCATAGAGGTTCGCCCTTAAATTTGCATGTTTTGATTTGAAATGTCTTTTAAGTACCTTAGGGTTGTGGATCCATTAATAGACGGTATTTGAATACAAACCTCAAAAGAAGCAGTCAAGAAAAAAACATTTTTGCATAACTGCTCTCTCAAAGAGTTACATCAAGAGGTTTGTATTTAAAACCACTAGTTTGTCAAATATTTCTGCTTTCTTCATTAATTGGATAATAACAAAGGTCTCTTTGTTTCCAGGAATCTTACAATGTTTTTGTAAATTTGCTTTTCTTAAGTTTTACTTTAATTAACTCAAAAAAATTAATACTTTAATTTCATAGTAACTCATTTTTTAAATTGCCTGATAATAATAATTAATAATAATAAATTCCATTTCTAAAACTCGTCCTTTATAATATATGCAATTCTCTTCAGATTGACATTTCACTCTCTTCTCCCTCTCTTTATAGCTGTACATGTTTTGTCCATAAAAGCCTCCCTGGTAAACCTCATTGTTTTAAATTGCCATGATAAAGGGGGATTGGGTTGAGTTGGATATCCACTTTATTTATAAAATCTCTTTTTTCACATTTTATCACCAGATACAATTAGTTCTGTGACTGATCTTCTATTTGCAACATTTTAACTTTACTACTTTTGTTGCACATGTTCTTTAATGTAGTGTAAATATAACAAGGTTAGCTAATAGGCTACAAAACAAATTATCATTTCTTCCTCTTGGGTTAATATTCCTTCTCTTTAATGTTATTGTTGCATCATTATTGCTTTCCATATAAGCCAAAAAGTATAATTTGACTTGTTTTTTGAAATAAAAGTATATTTGGAATATTTTATTTTGTAATATCTTTTAATTTGATTAACGTTATCGTAAAGATAGTTCTGTAAAGACGACTTTATCAGAGTTCAAAAATAGAATTGTTTACTTTTTAATGGTAATTCCCTGTTCGGTCGCCGGTGGTTCCCCATTTTATTGCGTATATAATAATACTATATGCTGTAAAACATTTAGAACGTTGAGTGCTTTTGTGTTCTTCAGTTATGTACGTATTAATCATTCAAATTTTAAAGAGTCCAAGCTTAAGTTTAAATGATTTAAAAACTTATTTTATTTCTGATGACAATTCACTGCGCAAATCTGAAAATTTGTTGAGCATTTAAACGTTTGCTTCGAATACCTGTTCTTTCAGTGAGCTGAGATTTTTTTAATGAAACGATTTCTTATATTTTTTAATACTTTTCTCACCAATTTTTTTTCTTATCATCTTAGTTCGTATTCCAAGAGCGGAACGAGTTCGCCGTCGGAACATGCGTTTAAAGAAAGTTCTCCAACCTAAAAACGCCTTGATGGTTTTAAACGAATTGGTTGGTCAAACGGAATACGTAGTGACCGACTCCAAAACCGATTACAACCAAGATATCTTCAACGCTACTCTCTCAGTTGAAGGTCAAAAGTTTACAGGAACAGGTAAAGATTCTTATTGATTCAATTTTGCACAACCAAGTCAGCTGATCCAACTTTTAAAAACCATGTTGATTAGTGTTAGGTTTGTGCTAGATTAAGAAACGGGAGGGATTCGCTAACGCCACGAGAATTAATAATTCGAGGAGTGGAGTTTGATAGTAACCCTACCACATTTGTTTTTAATCTATTTTAATCAAAATTTTAGTGGGATTAATTAATTTTTGTTGTTTAAATTAGGTAAAAGTAAAGTTTCTGCGAAAACTGCGGCTGCGGAAATTGCAATTCGAGCAATAATTTTAAAAAGATTACGTAATCCCGCTGGCAATGCTACCGCAAATCAACAACAATCCAATTTGACACAAATTCCCATGGAAGAAGATTCCGAAAAAATGGAAGAAGATCAAAAGGAAGAGGATTTATCTTGGTCGCAAATCGCGAGTTTTGCAATTTTTAAGTTACTATCAAATTGGGATGATGAAGATGGAGGGAATTTAGTTGATTTAGTAAGTTTTTAATTTATTTATTTTATTGGTTATTTAGTTGGTTTAGTTTTCCACCATGAATTCGTCAACTTCTGATGGGCCACCAACACCACCATCAACATCTTTAACAAATTTAAGTTCTGAACCGAAACCGGCGAAAAAACTACCGGAAAACGCGGCACATTTGAATCCATCAATGCTTTTGAATCAAATGTACCCACATACAAAATACGAAGAAATTGGTAGGGCTGGAAATCAAACCAATGTACAATTTACAATTAGTTGTGTTGTTGATGGAAAGACCTTTACAGGAACTGGTGCGTTACTTAATAATTTAGAATTATTTTTGTTAATTTATTAATTTTTGTTAGGCCCTAATAAAAAGACGGCTAAGAAGAACGCAGCGTTTGAAGCTTGTAAAGCTTTATTAAATATTGAGTACCCACAGGAAGTTTATTGTCAAAAAATGCAAGTTGATCCATCTCCTTTTTAAAAAAAAATTAAAAAGAATGATGACTTTTTTTAAAATAGTAAAGTAAAATTCAGTTTTAAGTTTTGTTTAAGTTAAAGTATTAATTCTAATTATATGTAATTTTATTATTTTGACTAAATATATTAATTAATTATTGATAGTAAATATATGTTATGACTAAATGAAATTATTGATAGTAAATTTGATTTTTTTTTAAGTACCAAGAACATTTTTTTTTAATGAAACGCCCTATCCATTAAAAAGGAAGATCGAAGAGGATTTTCATCAATGAACATGAAAATAAAAAACCAATTGTATTCCTTGCTGGAAAAAGTACTAAGGTCCATACTTTTTTTAGAAATACCTTTGTTAATCCTTTGTATGAATCCATTTCTAATTCCCTTTCCTTTTCAGATGCTGATACAATTTACAAAATGTCCATATATTTTTTGAAAGAATGCCCTAAAGAAGATTTTTAAAAATGTCGCAATTAATTTTGATCAACTTTACGATATTAAACAAAATACAGGTGTCCCGAAATGTTCATAATAACCGCACGGAAACTGTTTAAAGTTGTCCATTCAACAAAAGCTTAGGAAAACGCATTCGGAGATCGTAAATGACTCTCAGGCAATCTGTACCACCACCGCGCACCAATAGATTCGACACGGAAAGAGAAATAAACTTTTTCTCTTTCAGAAATACTCTGACGCGAAAGTTACGGGACAACTGTATACGATAGCTGTTCGGAGTTTTCAGCATTAGCAGTTTCTCAAAAAACGAGATCATGACACATATTACTTTTTTTTTCTATCTTTTTTAGTTTAGAAGATAACCTATGCGTACAACGAATTTGGATTAAAACACTTCATTATAATAATTAACAAGATTTGAATACTGCTCAATTCAATAATTTAATCGTTCAAACAAAACAAATAAAAACAACAAAGAAGTATTATAATAAATTGGGTAGTCCATGTGTAGTCCAATGTTCGGGAATAATTCTGGTTAAGCAGTCCCATTAGTACTTAATCCCCATTTACACATCTTATAGCCTTCTGGGCTATAATCCCAATCAATTTTTCGTTGTTTTATTATGTTCGTATAAACCATGGAAGATAATTTCGCCGTTCTAGTTCTTTCCAAAGCATTAAAGTCGACATTATAAAGACCAAACTTTTCACTGAAACAATAACGATTCAGAATTTAAATAATCATTATAAACCCATAAATTTCTTACGTGTATCCTTGATACCATTGGAAACTGTCCAAAAAGCTCCAAACGGTGTAAGCGGAAACATTACAGTTATCTTTATATATGGCGGCGAGAATGTGTTCCAAATAAGACTAAAAATAAACAATGAGAAATTTATGAAGAAAATTTGTATTAATTTACGTTAATATAATGGACCCTGCGACAATCATTGTCGCTCCCATCATCGGAGAATCCATTCGCTGTTATAAAAACTTCCGGGTTGTCGTATTCTTTTTTGATCCAATTTAATAATTTTCTTATTCCCCATGGTACAACTTGCAACCATGGAGATGTTCCATTTTCCCATTGCTCATTTTGGCCACAAAAGTCCATTCCAAATAAAGGGGTTCCTTCGGCGCTAAATTTTGATTGACTGCTGTCACAAATCTTGGTGGTATAATGAGTTAATCCGAAAAAATCTGAACTTCCTCTCAAAAATTCTACATCTGCTGATTCAAATTCTGGTATTATAAAGGAAGACGTTTGTATTTGTCGGGTGAAATAGTCAATTTGGTCGGATACCATTTTTGGGTAATCCCCAATTCTTGAAAAAATTGGATGAGCGAACCATCCCAACTAAGATAATGAATTATTAATGTTTTAATTAATATTTTATGTTAAAAAATTACCTCAAGTTGCATTGCTAGCTCACTTATATCGTCATCGGATTCGCCTCGAACTCCTGGTTCCATCCAAGTGGAGCCAAAGGATATCCCAATTCTTCCATGCTGTCTTTCTCTGTAATTAAAATTGTATAACCGATAAACCGTTGCGTGGGATTTCAAAATAGCGTGAGCACAAAGATATCCAACATTTCCATCTTCTTTCAGACCATCGGCAAACGATGTTTGTTGGTAATAAGGATCAAAACAAAATCTTCCAGGGTCATCAAACGTGATCCAATCCCTTACTCTGTTTCCATACATTGAAAATAATAAATTAGCGTATTCTTCAAACGCAAGGACTGCTTTCTCGTTTAACCATCCCCCTTTTTCTTGTAAAAGCTGTGGTAAGTCCCAGTGGAACATAGTTGCAACAGGTCTAATTCCATTCGCAATGAGTTCGTCTATTAACTCATTGTAATACCTAATTCCATCAGAATTGATGTTATTAACATGTCCAGTGGGTAAAATTCGCGGCCATGAAATCGAAAATTTGTAAAAATCCACATCTAAATCTTTCAAAAGTTGGACGTCTTCAAGAACCTTGTGGTAACTATCACAAGATATATCAGCGTTGGATCGATCTTTGATTTTTTTGGGTTTAGAATGGGTCAATCTATCCCATATACTTTCACCTTTCCCACCAAGATTCCATCCTCCTTCAACTTGATAAGCTGAAGATGCAACGCCAAATTTAAAGGAGTTGGGAAATGTTTGATTCGTTTGACTCGACGCACAAGTACTAAAATAGTTATTAAAATATGAGTATGTTTAATATATTAGATTCTCACCTCATGAGTAAAATGTAAATGATTGTGAGCTTATTCTTCGTCTTCATAGTTGTGGTTTGAAGTTAGAACTACTTCTGATTAACAAACTCGATTTTTTCCGTATTTATACGATTTTTGGCGGAGGAATTTTGCGCACAAACACATTTTATCAAGATGTGTAGTCACGTAAAGTTTTTGGTATTTTTCCTGTATGGTAATTGGATTGGTATTTTTTTGATTAATATTGGAGTTTGATAAAAGCTATCGCTGAATACTTTTATAGTAAAAGAATTTCCGGCGATACAAAAAAAACATAGTTTTAGAAATAACTTTTACTTGGTTTCGAACGAATGACTCTTACAATTAAAAATTTTTCTATTTTAATCTTTTAAACAGGTGGTCAAAATGAATTAAAGTTATTTTTTGATAAGAATTATTACATATTTAAAATTATTTTGTTAGAAAAAATAACAATGGACAATAATTATAACAAAGCAAGAGTAACAGTACATTATCTCTTATTATTTATCCTATACATCTTTCAATATCCTCCTCAATAGCATCCGGAATAACTCAAGATGGTAACAAACATTTCGCAACTTCATTCGTGCTGTAGCGGCACCACAACCAACCTCAATTTTGAAATGTAACCATGTAAAATGTTACTATGTAAAAGTTATTTAGTTTCATATTATATTAGGTACACATTTATTTGGACCATTAAAAAAGTTCTCCAGCACGCAGTAACATCGTTCACCTTTTAAAATCCTTTCATACTTGCACACCTTAAGGTTGTTCCTGACATTCTGACATCTGTCAACTTTCCAACATTCTCCCAAATATTGTTGCAACATTTAGATGCAACATTGTATCTAAAACGTCAAATTCAAAAGATGCATGGTTTAACTTGAAGGTTTTTAATTTTAATATAGTGTTAATTCTCAATATACCCCAATTTATGTATTAGGGTTGATTTTTAGAAGCTAACTTCAAGTACGAAACTATTCTAAAACAAATATTAAATATATCATTATAATTATTCTAAATATCACTATTTTTATTTCATACATTTAAAAAATAATAAATAAGTTATTATTGATTAATATTAATTAATTATTATTAAATATTTAATGTTAAATTCACAATGTGTTGATAACTTCATGTCAATTTCTGACAGTTTTCTACAAACTTAAAACCATTGCTTGAATCATTGTCTTTAAATATTACTATTTAAAGACAATGCTTGAATTTATAGAATATTATGGTTTCTCCATATCTTTAAGTGAAAAATAACTTATTTAAGTGTATTATGGATCAATTAAATCGGTATTAAGAAGTAAAATTAAAACAAGCAAGTATTTGATTCAATTTATTTATTAAAGCTAATTTCACGTCAATATTTGACAGTTCTTAAATTTAAAGCCGCTGCTTCATTTTTCATTTCTTTCAAAATGAATCATAATTTAAACGCCATGGGACGTGGTAGATCAAAAATGAATCAATTCCGCAAGAAAAATCAAAAAAGTAAGTTCTCAACCCGATTTATTCGCTTTTTAAATAATTATATTTCTTTTATTAGTCGTAAACATTCAAAGACCGTTAAACAAAATACCCGGAAAAAAAACTGTCGCTCCTAGCTCAAGTACTTCTTCTGCTTTACGTTGGGGAGCCGCATCAAGAAGTAATATTAATAGCTCAACTATATTAAATAGTTCTTCAAGATCGTATACAACGGATTCAACAGATTCAAAAATTATTTTAGGTAAAATAATACACAATGAATTATAAATTAATTAATAAATAAATTTTTTATAGCTTTATCACACGGTCGGGGAGATGCAACGTGTGAAGTTGGACTTGCATTAATAAACGTTTCCAAACCTTTATTAATTTTATGCCAAATTTCTGATACTCCAAGTTACGTAAATACGTTAAGAAAAATTAATATATTTAGTCCTACTGAAATACTCGTTCCAATGACTTTTATGAGTAACAGTTTGGCCTCGAATCGATTGTTGGATAAAATTAAGCAAAATTTTAAAGATACCACCATTACAGCAGTTTCTCGCCCTACATTCAATAACATTACAGGGATGCAATACGTTAAACAATTATGCGCTAACGAGTGGAATTCGGTTATATTAATTTTACAACAAAAATATTATTGTTTAGCCGCAACAGCCGCACTCTTAAATTATATTGAAACAGTTCTTTTCGTTTTTTATTCGAAGCAGTCTTTAAAAATTGAGTATCAGGAATCTGAGGGGTTTGCAATTATTGGTGAATAAACAAAAAATAAAAATTTTAATAAATATTTTAAAAAAAATTGTTTTAGATGTTGCAACAGCTGATAATTTAGAATTAGTTTCGAGTGCTTCATCTATTCATAATAAAAAGGCAAGTTTATTTGGGATCTTAAATTATTGTCGAACAAAAATTGGTTCTTGCACGTTAAGAGCAAATATTTTACAACCTCCTTGTATGGTTATGGATATCGAAGCCCGTTTAAATTGTATATCAGAAATTTTACACGATAGTAATGCTTTAACTGGCATACAACTTGCATTAACAAACTTAAAAAACGTTGATCAATTATTAACAATTCCAACGATTTCGTTTGAATATCAAGAAACGTGTTCAGAGAGACAACTTAATTATATTTTAACGTTAAATTCTATCTTAGAAAACATCAATCCTTTAAAAGATATTATGGCAACATTTAGCGAACAATTTTTTGTTGATTTTCATAAAACGCTTTCAAATTCTAATTTTGTTGTTATACGAAAACTTATTCATCTTTTAATTCATACCGATGCCAGACCCGGAAAGGGTAATCAAGGAACAATACAACGATGCTTTGCAGTTAAACCCGGCGTAAATGCATTGTTGGATATAGTAAGAAAATCTTACAGCGAAAGAGTTGATGATATGAGAGGTATTTATTAATTAATTTAAAAAATAATTTATATATGTATATATATATTTTTTTTTGGATAGAATATGTTAAAGAATTGGCCGGAAAGTATAATTTACCATTAACGTTAAGTAATAATTGTAAAAAGGGGTATCATATTGTCTTGGCTTTAAATCAACAAACTAAAAAGAGTTTTAAAAAATCCGATCTTCCCCCAGAATTTATTCAAGTAAGTTTAAATTTTAGTTTTGTTTTATGTTTAATTTTTATTTTATTTTTAGGTTGAAAGATTAGCTACTAGTGTTACAATGAAAACTTTACGATTACTTAATTTTACTGTAAGAGTTGAAGATATTCAAATTGAAGTGATAAAATTAAGCAATGTGTAAGTCAATATAACAGTGTAATCACTCTCAAAGTTTTTTTTTAATTATCTTTTTTTGTTACAGTATGATTCATCAATTATTCGTAGAATTACGAGCTTACATGGGACTTTTTTATCAACTTTGCGAAGAAGTCGCTAAACTAGATATGCTACAATCTTTAGCTCAAGCAAGCTGTATAGCTTCATACACGCGACCGGAATTTAAAGATTACACGGATCTTGTAGATGCAAGACACCCATTGTTAGATATTTTGCGTGAAACAGAACCCACATCTAATTCAATCGTAATTTAATTTAATTAAATGAATTTGTTTTATTATTTTTGATTTTTTTTAGTTCGTTTCAAAATACAAAAACATCCACATTATAACTGGCCCAAATAGTTCGGGGAAAAGCATTTTCATTCGCCAATTGCTTTTATTACAAGTGATGGCTCAAATTGGATCTTTCGTCCCCGCCACGAAAGCCGTTTTTAAACCATGCGACAGAATTTTAGCTAGGGTCCAATTTGACGATAAAATGGAATGTAACGCTTCCACTTTTGTTTTGGAAATAAAGGAGATGCAATATTTTCGGACCATTCTCACCGATAATACGTTAATTATTATCGATGAATTGTGCCGCTCAACAGCTGTTGGTGAAGGCACAGCTATGGCGGTCGCTTTGTGCGAGGATTTAGCTAAAACTCAAGCGCATTGCTTTTTTGCTACTCATTTTATTTTTATGACGAATGTTGCCGATGTTTATCCAAATGTTCAAAAGTAAGAAATTAATTTGTATTTGTCTGATGATGTTATTATCCGGCGAAACCTGCTTTTTTAATTTTTAGTTGGCAAATGGAAACTTTGGAAGAGAATCATAAAAATAGCATTAAATTAAATTATACTTATCGTTTAATTCGTGGTGTTACCACAACGAAACGTTATGGATTATTTGCCGCCACTAAATCTTGGCCAAAAATTATTACAGATGATGCTAAAAGGATATTTGGGAATATTCAAGAGGCGACGATTGTAAGTCATGATTTAAGGATTCTTTAAGGATTTAATTTAAAAACTTTTTTTATTAAGTCAAGTGGGACGAAGAAAATGCAGGAAGCTTTCCGATTAAAATACGATTTAGAGATGGAATTGAAATTGCTAAAATTAAGGGGGATGTTAACTTGTACTGAGGTCAACGCAATTTTATCGGAGTATCTCGAACGATTAAAAGAGTTAGGTTATAATTTAGAGGATGATAACAACATACAACTAACGGTTAATTCAAAAAATAATTCACCTCGGAATATGCCAAATCAAAACAATTCAGGATTAAACATTAATCTTGAAAGCTCAGTAAATATTTCTTCTATTAATAATTATTGCGAAGTCGTGTACTCTCAAACTAATTTAAGTTCTAGTTTATCCAAACAAAATGTTTTTAATTTGTCTCAAATTGTCAACTCCCCAAATCTTTCTATAATCCAAAAAGATGAAGACCCAGATGTTACCTTAGCCATTCAAGAAGCACAAGAAATGTCCTCGTATTTTATAGATGGGCCAGAACAGGATGCGTTCCAACAAAAAGATTCTCAACAATTTCTTAGCTTTTTAAACGATTCTGAACCAAAACCGTTCCATTTCTATACCCAAATCAAATCAGAACATCTCGATAATAATAGTTTTGAGAATTTTGTAAAGGATTTGGACCCGGATGTTTCTATGGCTATACAAGAAGCTCAAGAAGTTTCTCAATGTTTTATGGATCCCAATGATGAGTGGAATGCGATTAGAGAAAATGAAGTGAATCAGGATGTTGGAGGGAAACGCGTCTTAATAAAAAGTGTTCATATTTTTGATGCTTTTAATAATTTGGTTGATATCCAAATTCATCCTCCACCTAGAAATCAAGGTTTGGAGGAAAAGAATCGGGTGGTTAATGAAGACCATCAAGGAATGTATTGCTCAGATATGCATCAACAACATATATTTTGTCCTAAAACACATCATCAAGAAATGCATTGCCCCAAAACACATCAACAAGAAATACATTTCCCAGATATACATCAAGAAGAAATACATTTCCCTGATGTACATCAACAAGAAATACATTTTCCAGATATACATCAACAAGAAATACATTTCCCAGATATACATCAACAAGATATACATTTCCCTGATATACATCAACAAGAAATACATTTCCCAGATATACATCAACAAGAAATACATTGCCCAAAAACACAACAACAAGAAATACATTGCCTCAAAACACATCAACAAGAAATGGAGTGCCCAGATATACATCAACAAGAAATACATTTCCCAAATGTACACCATGATGAAATATATTGCCCCGATATACACCAAGACATGCATTGCCTCAATATACATAATCAAGAAATACATAGCCCAGATCTACATCAACAAAGTCAACTTTATAATAAAACCACAAACGATAAAAATCAAACATTAAATCTTTTCTCAGAAATGATATCTACAAACACTCAAGATATGAATACCCAAAAACACAAAAACATTTTTGAGTCATCTCCCAATTCAGATATATTCCAAATAGACGACACATCGCCAAAAAAAATATCCCCTATATTAACATCAAAAGATTCCTCTAAAAACTCAACAAAAACCTCATCGAATTCAAAAAAATCGTTTTTCTCAACACCATCGACTTTGCCATGGAAACGAAAACGGGCAACCTTTAAAACTCCCTTAAAACAGCAAGGATTGATGACTTTCAAGCCGCCAAAACCGCTTTCGAAACAAGAAATATTAAAAAATCAACGGGAGATAATGCAAAAATATATGGAGTGTAATAGTGAGGAAGAGGCTGTGAAAAATATGGAGCTACTTATGAATATGCCGTCAGTGAGTCAATTGCGTCACCAACAATATGTTGCGCGAGTTCAAAGGACTCAAGATGGGATTGTTGTGGCGGTTCCGGTGGCTTCGCCTAAGCGGAAACAGAAGCAGCCGATTCCGTTGAAAACAAGGATATCGAGCGAGAATTTTGATAAGACTCTTTTAAGCGATAAGAATTCGCAAAAATTTATTGATTTTTTGGAGAGTAAAAAAGATGATGGGTTTATGTTTAATTTTGGTAGCCAACCGCAGAGTTCTAATCCTTTTGTAAGTAAATCGGAAACGCCTGAAGGTTATTACAAGAATAATAAAAGTGGAATTAATGATTTATATTCTAAGTATTTATAAATTTTCGTTTTCTAGTTTACCATTCTAAGTTTGTTTTAAATAAAATTTTGTTAATTATATTTTGAACGTTTCTTACGTAGTAATTTGTGTAATTTGGTGAATTTTAAAATTTGTGTTATTACTTACGATAAGGAATATAATTGGAACATCGTGTTGGTACGAGAGATTTAATTTAGTTTCCTATATCATTAATTCAGAATTTTTTAGGTATGATTCAGCTGTTTGGTATGAGTTACATGTTCAACCATTTAGCGAGAGAGATTGATGCAAGAAATTCGCAAAATTTTAAAGAAGACGCATCATAACAGAAATGAGCTGTTACCGTTAAGTTGATTGGTTAAGATTTGATAATATGTAACTCTCATTATTGCGTTTCCTTAAAAAAAACAGAGTCCACCTTTTTGCAAGATACAGTATGAAAAGAAGATGAACATTACTAAATGCTACAACCAACCGTAATCTACAAATGTCAACCTACAAAAACAGGATGCACATAGAGACATGAAATTTGGATATATTTTATTAAGTATCTACCCTTTGCCTTTATATAGCCTCGTAGACGCTTAGGAAATGCAGCTACCGTGGCGGCGAGGTACTTCATGTCGAAATCATAGACTGTTGAAACATGGAAAATAGAAAGCGGTTCAAATCAGGTAACTCCATCTTAGTCTATAGTATATATATGTTTGGGATGAGTCCACCTACCCCAGCATTTATTCTTAGGTGGCTTCTCTTTTTCTCGCATCTTAGCCCAGTTCGTTATTTTTTCAGCAATTATGAGATTTATGGGAGGAAACAAAGCAATCACCAGCACCGTAGATGCAGACACAGTTGGACTATGAGCACAGATCACCTCTCCTCTGCACCAAGACGAGTCCTCTACGTTTGTTTTGGTAAGTACAGCATGATAATATTTGACATCTCCATCAGTAGTTTGCGCCTGCTATGTGATTAACCACAATTGCTATTATGTGGCATGGTAGTGAACTTTATTGTCTCGGAACGTATATTTTCTGCCCAGAGGCAACCCCAAATACTTAACAAAAATTTTCCCATAAAATAAGATGAGTCTCAATTAGCAGGTCACATTTCCATTAAATCTGCTTTGGAGTTGAAGGTTGGGAAAGAGATTTATAAATTATAAAATAAATAAAACTTAAGCAATATATTATTTATAATTAACATATTTATACAGGAAAAAAATTAATAATACTATACAAAAGTGTATCTTTCTCGTAATAAAAACAAATACGTGATTCGTGGCAGTTAAACATTGATTAGTTAAAATAAGCTCTTTGTTAATATTAACTCGAATTAATTAAAATAAGTTATTTCCTGTAATTNTTTCACGGTTACAACAAACAAGAACATAACAAAAATTCTAACAAAAATATTAACAAGAACAATAAAATTATAAACAAATAGTAATAAATAAAAAAGAACAAAAAAATACTAAAGCAGATGTTCAAAAACACTGCCTGATATCGCCGTCTTAAATTAAAGCGCACTCTGCGGAGAACATCGATGTCAGTTCGAAGTTGATCAAATGAATCAACAATTCGCAACCTCAGCTGATCAACTCGTTTTCGATCAACTGATTTAAACGCAGTAAATTAGCAATTTAACGCATCCCCATAAATAAAAATCTACAGGTGTAAGATCTGGCGATCGGGAGGCCAACTTATCGGTGTACCTACTCCTAGTCCAATCCACCGTCCCGGAAAACGTTCCCTCAGAAATTCTTGGACAGCTTGTGTGCTATGCGCACGAGCACCATTATGCATAAACCACATTGCTTGCCTTGTGTTTAAAGGACCGTCATCTAAAAAATCATCTAATTCCTCTAAATGTCGCCTGTATGTATGTCCATCCTTGGCAGCCTTGATGGCAAGAAAACGGGTCCAATAATTACATCGCCCACAATGCCAGCCCAAACGTTAAGAGAAAATCTTCATTGTGATTTCCAAGTTTTCTTAAATCTTGGATTTTCGTCCGCCCAACTATGTAAATTTCTCAAATTGAAGATTCTATCTTTAGAAAAAGTGGATTCATCTGTAAAAAGTATTTTTTCTTAAAACTGATATTCAATTTGGATTTTGTGCTGCATTATTTGGCAATATTGCAGTCGCAGTGGGTAATCAGCCAGTCGAACTTCCTGAACTTGTAACAATGAAATGGATAAAGCTGTTGCTCGTGCAGAACACTCCAGACAGTTGTTTTTGAAGTTAAAAAGTGCCTCGCCATATCCAAAGTACTAGTAGCTGTAGTATTTTCTTCTACGTAGTCTAGAATATCTTCTTCTAGTTCGGGTGTTCGGACTGATCTTACGTTACTGTTGTTTAAACGACATAAGCAAGTTGACAGCTCAATTTATTTTTTTAATTTCCATGGCCAACCTTGACTTTTTCGAAGATTTTTATTTTTTAGTGTTACCATTGAAATCGAAGCTTAATATTTTCGCGTATAACTCGAAAACGGTCAATGTTATCAAAATTTTGAAAGATAAAAATTTCTAAAATAAATTTTTTATTAAAAAGTATAAAAATAAATGTAGGATTACGAGCGAACAAAAAAGTTTTGAGCAAACAAATTTTAGGGACAGCCTGTATAGCATGGTTGCCGCCGCCCGATCAAAGATGAATTTTTGATTCTCAAAAATGAAAATTGGTTCAATGATTTTGCTTGATATTTGCTTACCCTGTACCAAATTTCAACGCTCTACCATAAATGGTATTGAAAATATTTAGAAAAATGTGTTAAAACTTCTGAACTTTGATGGCCTATATCTTGACCATTTGAAGACTTTTATAATAATTTTTATTTACGAATTGTCATCATTTTTGCTCTAGTATATGAGGTTAATTTTATGCCCCGAGTCACCGGAACACCCTGTATATATGTTTGGGATGAGTCCACCTACCCCAGCATTTATTCTTAGNTTGTGTAATTTGGTGAATTTTAAAATTTGTGTTATTACTTACGATAAGGAATATAATTGGAACATCGTGTTGGTACGAGAGATTTAATTTAGTTTCCTATATCATTAATTCAGAATTTTTTAGGTATGATTCAGCTGTTTGGTATGAGTTACATGTTCAACCATTTAGCGAGAGAGATTGATGCAAGAAATTTGCAAAATTTTAAAGAAGACGCATCATAACAGAAATGAGCTGTTACCGTTAAGTTGATTGGTTAAGATTTGATAATATGTAACTCTCATTATTGCGTTTCCTTAAAAAAAACAGAGTCCACCTTTTTGCAAGATACAGTATGAAAAGAAGATGAACATTACTAAATGCTACAACCAACCGTAATCTACAAATGTCAACCTACAAAAACAGGATGCACATAGAGACATGAAATTTGGATATATTTTATTAAGTATCTACCCTTTGCCTTTATATAGCCTCGTAGACGCTTAGGAAATGCAGCTACCGTGGCGGCGAGGTACTTCATGTCGAAATCATAGACTGTTGAAACATGGAAAATAGAAAGCGGTTCAAATCAGGTAACTCCATCTTAGTCTATAGTATATATATGTTTGGGATGAGTCCACCTACCCCAGCATTTATTCTTAGGTGGCTTCTCTTTTTCTCGCATCTTAGCCCAGTTCGTTATTTTTTCAGCAATTATGAGATTTATGGGAGGAAACAAAGCAATCACCAGCACCGTAGATGCAGACACAGTTGGACTATGAGCACAGATCACCTCTCCTCTGCACCAAGACGAGTCCTCTACGTTTGTTTTGGTAAGTACAGCATGATAATATTTGACATCTCCATCAGTAGTTTGCGCCTGCTATGTGATTAACCACAATTGCTATTATGTGGCATGGTAGTGAACTTTATTGTCTCGGAACGTATATTTTCTGCCCAGAGGCAACCCCAAATACTTAACAAAAATTTTCCCATAAAATAAGATGAGTCTCAATTAGCAGGTCACATTTCCATTAAATCTGCTTTGGAGTTGAAGGTTGGGAAAGAGATTTATAAATTATAAAATAAATAAAACTTAAGCAATATATTATTTATAATTAACATATTTATACAGGAAAAAAATTAATAATACTATACAAAAGTGTATCTTTCTCGTAATAAAAACAAATACGTGATTCGTGGCAGTTAAACATTGATTAGTTAAAATAAGCTCTTTGTTAATATTAACTCGAATTAATTAAAATAAGTTATTTCCTGTAATTTCTCACTTCAATAACGACCGGACTCGAAGTATACTTTCGATCTTCGTAATATTTATTTGTCGTGGACGGCCCAACATAATGACTTTTAGTTATCGATTTCTTTTCGGTCGACTCAATAGTTTCCAAACTTCTCCCATCCCTACTCGGAATCGTTTTCTTACTAAAACTTTGCACCGTATTTGTAATACTAGGATTTTTTGGATCATCGTTCCTCGAAGTTGTATGATACGTTTCTGAATAATCATTACTCGATGTTGATCCTCTTCGAATAACTCTACCTGTTGAACCAGTACTTGGAAGTCCAGTATTAACAACTCCAGTGTTAAGTCCTGTATCTCTTAAACGAGTTGGGGGTTCATAAATATCGTAACCCCTTCTATTATTATAATTATCTTCGTTATTATCGTGTAAAGTTTTAAATAATTCAGGTGCTCGATCCTTAAGATTCTTCATAAACATCCTTTTATTACTATCTTGATTATAACCGTTATTTCTTTCGTACCGATTACTTGTGTAAGTTTCTTCAACGCTTTCGGTTAAATTTTGTTGGCTCCTATTAATACTTGAAATTAAAGCCGGGCTTTTTAACCCCGCCGGGACTTCATCGAGACGATTTAATTGTGGATTTGATTTATGCATGGCTCTTCTTGCGTTTAAATCGCCGGGTTGAACATTAAAACTTTGACTTCGCGATAAGTTTGATTTATAAGTCCTCGCTGGTTTTGCGGGGCCTCCGTTAATGATGGGACGTTGCGTGTTAATAATCGAAACGTTGATGGTGTTGTCTTCTTTTTTGCTTGCGTGTCTTGGTAAAGTTTGAGAAACTCTTGGTGTACTCACTAATCTTCCAGTACTTTTACTAAATCGTCCCAAAGTACTTTGGGATCTATAAGAACAAAAAATAACTTGATTAGATCAAGTTTTATAATCAACTGGTAAATTTCCCGGGCGACACCGATTAAATAAAAAATCGAAAAGAAGTGGGAAATAGTGACCACGCATGATACTCGATTAGGATTGGATTCTTTTGCGATGCGTAATCTTTTTAAACTTGTTTAGATGTGGTTCAAGTTGGTTGTGGAAGTACTTATTAGGCAAGGTCTATAAATTTGTGTCAAGAGTGTTACTTTTTTACCTATTTTCTTCTTCTTTTAGTCTCCTTGATGTCCGAACTGGTCGGACTCCGTCGTATTTATTCTCCCTGCCGTAAATTGACCCCCCAAATGGATCTTCTCCTAAATAGTAGCGATGAACTGGACTTGAAGTTCTTCTTCGATCAATATCGTGGTGATTAATATCTTTATCGATAACGTGGCCTTTTTGATATGATGGCGATGGAGATCTTTTTGCTCTTTGTTTAGCTTTTCTTTCAGCGCTAGCTGAACGAATTTTACCGACAAGTTTTCTTATTGATTGACCTAAAAAAGAATATCGAATGATAATTAATCATAATTAATAAATAAATAACATTTTTTAATTATTTACCTATAATATTGCCACTTTTATGTTTAGTTGGTTCAGCAGCAAACCGCGTTTTTTGAAATTTTTTTTCCGGCATCGTTGGCGGACTTGGCGGTGAATAATCAGGGGGTGGTTCTTCTAACGGTTCTTCTCTACTTTCTTTAGTATCATTTCTCGACGGCGTTCTATACCCGCTATCATACCGACTTTCTTGGGAAACCCTTTGCCGTCTTTCTAAAGCCTTTTTTCTTTGTGGAGGAGTCGGCGTTGTTTCCCTAAACGGCGATATTCTTCTTTCGGGGGAAATCCGATAATCAGGAACTGGAGATCTTTGGTATTCTCTACTCGGCGAAAATCTCCTTGGTTCCGTTGCGTAATTTTCTTGATGTCTTCTTTCGGCCCACTCCGTAATTCCTTGATAATATCTTCTTGGTGGATCTCGTTCGGGCTCTTGGAGTCTCGATGACATCGGGGATGCTGGATCATGAAGAAGTCTTGGTCCTTCTTTTCTAACATAATCCACCGATGAAGCTGGTTCTTGTTTCGCGGTTGGTTGGGATTTAATAGTTACGTTAAAATAACTAGTTTTCGGGGGTTGTTCGTCTTCTTCGGCTAAAGAATCCCGCGAGGACCTGGATTCGCTTCCGAAATGGTTCTCCAACCACTTGGAGGTCTCCATTTTTCTCGTCTCCTCTTCCTGATCGAAATCGAGTGGTCTTCGAGTCAATGCATCTTTCCGATCCATTGGTGAAGCACTTGGCAGCAGATCTAACATAAGTAATTTTATAAAGGGATTATGTAATAGAATCACGTTAATGTCAGTGTTACGGAAGGTTCGAGTATTAGAAAGTGACAGTTTGAGAGAGGAGGCTCACGATTGCCGCGGGATTATTTTGTTATTACCTCGATATCGGCGCGGAGGACGGTTTAAGTTTCTTCTTCTTGCTCTTGCCGACAAAGAATCAAAATCGGGCTCGTCTATCCCGTTTCCGTGGCGTTCTACTTCTATCGTTTCACCTTTATAGCGCATCTCTTCGCCTATTTTAACACCGTTTGATATGTAATCCACCTGTTCTTGATCTCGCGATTTGAAATATCTAAAATTAATTTAAAGTTATTAAGTCGATTTAAATTTATGTTGATTTACCTTTGCGAATTTTCTAAATGAACGTCTTTATCGGGAGCATCGTGAGGTAACTCGTCGTCCTTCAGTTCCTCGTGTTCGGTCGTCCTTTCGGTTTCCGTCACAATCCGGCCATCTTCACGAATTGAGCTTAGTTGCCGAGTTTCTTCGGTGTCCGTAACTTTCTTCGACTTGTTAGTGTCCCTTATCAAACGAGGTCCCGTTGAAATCGTCCCAGACTTGTCTATTGTTCTTAACACTCTCCTTAAGTCTTGTTCGCCGGTTTTAACAGCTGCTAGGTAATCCTATGAGAATATTGTCCATTCAATTCTACATAAAAAATCCTTTAAAATGAGTCCAAACTCGATGGGGTTATCTCCAAAAACAAATAAGATATGGCGATTTTAATATTAAGGGTTGTTTTTTAATTTAGGGGTGAGTTAATTATTTTTTAAAATAACCTCATCGTGTTTGGATTCGTTTTAAAGGATTTTGAATTCTCTACAAGAATTTTTTATAAAATTAAACATTTTTGAAATAATTTTCTTGGTAAACGAAAATTTCCTGGAAGCCAAAAGACAACTTACGTCCAAAACCAGATCAGAAACGTCCGTAACACAAAGGAAACTCGCCTTCAACTCGGAACAACCTTCAAAACCGGACAACTTTCTACGGCTTCGCAAAACGGCCGGCCTCAAGAGAGAAAAGACTACTATCACAGACCACGATCGAACCTGCACTGACCAGACTATCAAAGAGTCGCCCGAGGACCCGACCCCTTTAGACATTCCATTCTTGCGCACACTTGCCGAATATCGATGAGGAAGAACACCTAAACGCGACTTGCTCTTAAGACTTCTTCGACGTTCTGGCTCGATTTCAAAGCGAGGATTCCTCCACCTAGGAATTGTCTCCTTAAATCTCTTTAAATGTCACGCGGTGACATTTAAGAAGCCTCTCGTCGATACGGAGCTGAGCGCGAGAAGAAAGAAAGTTGTCGTCGAGGAAGAACCGCGAGAATACTGAGAGGACTAAGAAACCACCGTAAAGAGACTGAAGACTATCGCGAAGGCCTCGTAGTAGAAACGGCTGGTTTGACTGGTCCAAGAGTTGTTCAACCCGCTCAGGGTCACGTCCGTCGCGTCGCGCTTTGCGAAGAGATTTTGGGTTCGCATCTCTTAATTCTTACCTCGTCGGTTATGTCGCCTAAGTGTTGGATATCCTCCGTTTCTTTGACCTCTTCCTTTTCCTCCCTTGAAACCACCCTGCGTTCCTTTACCTCCCGAACGACGCCGTCGGGATTCGGCACCACGACCCACTTGGAGTTATTGTCCAATTGGTCGACATCTTTTAAGGCAGGGTGGTTTTCTTCGTCATCTTCCCCCAACTTTCGAAGCTAAAAAAAAATGTTAGAAATTAAATTTTTTATTATCAAGATGTTATTTCGTTTTTTACCTCGGTTTGATGATGCTCTTGCGTTTCTGTGTCTTGAGTTGTATTCGTGGTGACAACCGGGCCCGAGTCCTCCACCACTTTTCCATCTTCGAGCACCACTTGTCTTTTCACTCGAGTTTCTATCTGTTTGGTGTTGATCACCTCTGTTTTCTTTTTGCTTACCCATTCTTCTGTTTAATTCAAAACAAATTAAATCAGTTTTAATAATAACACAAAATTATATTAATATTTATAGTCTATGTTGAAAAATTTTCTAAAATATCTGATAGGTGTCGCTGTGTACTGGGATAAAAACAGTTTTTTAAAGTTATGTTAACAATTATAGTTTGTATTAAAGAATGTTTTAAACAATAATTCTATTTGAAATGAAAATCTTGCAGAATATCTGGATTTTTGCGTTGTAACAACTTTTAATTGCTAAGACTCCGTATCATACAATGATCATAGAATTGTGGTTAAATGTATAACAAGTGGAAATACGGGCAATGGAAATAAATGATGAAAGAAAAGAGTATTGCTTGGGAAGAGAAGAGAGAAAATAGATGAGTTAGTAAATAGTTTAGGGTACATGTAAAGAGAAAAATGGGTTTAATTTCTCAACTGATGAAGATAAAACATCGATGTTAAAGTATTTGCTGGAGTTTTATATCCATAAATATCCTTATGGTGTTACGATCTCTATGATTAGTGGCTAAAATCATAAAAGATTTTACATCCCTTGCAAACGAGTTGCTATAATCGTGTCCTTCAAAGACACGAGTCCTTCACCAAGTTAATATACAATAGGTATTTGTATGATAATGTTGCGATAAATCTAAACATCTCCTTTATTGACTTTTCATAGAAACTACAACTTTAAATAGAGCCAATACAATGTTGTACGGACTAAGGTTGTATAAGGAAGATGCAGTCTTCCATTTCTAGGATTTAATCTTCCGTCAGTACTATCTAGTCTTTTATCTGCAGGATCTAGTCTTCTGCTTACCTTTACTTCTTTTTAAATGGTGTCTTTAACATCATTCGACATCGTTGTGAACTTCTAGGTATCGCGATTAAAATTTTCGATGTTGCAATTTTCATGCAAGTTTCAAAATTCGCTATAAAATTAATTTCTTGAAGGATCCTTGTGGAAATATCACCAATTATTAATTAAAGTATCCTCTTTTTAATGCAAAAAGCCGTTTTGAAAAATTGCTTTTAGTTTTTGAGAAATAAATTTTTGAAATGATCGACAATTTTTTCAAATTTGCAATTTTCGCCCATTAAGTTTTAAAAATTCGTATAAAATTCATTTCTTGGAATATGAGTATGAAAATTTCCCAAAGTGTTAATAAAAGTATCCTCTTTCCAATGAACCAACCCGTTTTGAGAAATAACTTTTAGTTTTTGAGAAAACAATATTTGAAGTTTTGATAATTTGCAATTTTATCGATAATTTTCAAAATTCGCTATAAAATTAATTTCTTGAAGGATCCTTGTGGACATATCACCAATTATTAATTAAAGTATCCTCTTTTTAATGCAATAAGCCGTTTTGAAAAATCGCTTTCAATTTTTGAGAAAAAAATTTTTGAAATGAGTCAATTTTTTCGAATTTTGCAATTTACTCCGATTAAGTTTTAAAAATTGGTATAAAATCCATTTCTTGGAATATGAGTATGAAAATTTAGCAAAGTGTTAATAAAAGTGTCCACTTTCCAATGAACCAACACGTTTCGAAAAATAACTTTTAATTTTTGAAAAAACAATATTTGAAGTTTTGATAAAATTTTCGATGTTGCAATTTTCATCGATAAGTTTCAAAATTCGCTATAAAATTAATTTCTTGAAGGATCCTTGTGGAAATATCACCAATTATTAATTAAAGTATGCTCTTTTTAATGCAACAAGCCGTTTTGAAAAATCGCTTTTAGTTTTTGAGAAATACATTTTTGAAATGATCAACAATTTTTTCGAATTTTGCAATTTTCGCCGATTAAGTTTTAAAAATTGGTATAAAATCCATTTCTTGGAATATGAGTATGAAAATTTAGCAAAGTGTTAATAAACGTGTTCTCTTTCCAATGAACCAACCCGTTTTGAAAAATCACTTTTAGTTTTTGAGAAAACAATATTTGAAATTTTGATAACATTTTCGATGTTGCAATTTTCATCGATAATATTCAAAATTCGTTATAAAATTAATTCTTTTTAGAGTTGCTTCGTTAATTAAATCAGCATCAAAAAAGTTCATTTTGTATCTTGAATCCAAATAAGTTGACTTATCTTATCAGCTTTCTCACTAATTTCATTTTTATTCAAGGGTATCACTTCAGAAATGTACCAGAAATTATAACCATAATGGCCGGGTAACCGGATATCCGGCCGAAGGGGATGCCGAATATCCGGTTTTTTGCAAAATCACTATCCGTTCCATCACATGTCCTCAAGAATCTCCCTTAACGTCATTCTTATATACTGTTTTGAAGATTATTCTAACTAAATGATTTCAACCTCGTCCATAAACACATTCAAAATCGTCTTTTATTGACCAAATTAGTTTTTTTAAAAAATCATAACATCAATCTCAGATGATTACATAGTATCTAAATACTAATAGTAACAATAATGTGACATCCCTGATATCCTTTAACCCAACTCTTTCAACATCGTTGATGATATCTCTCAAAATATCTCTGTTATGACTCAAAAAGCTTCAATATCTCAAATGATCCCTAATTATTAAAAAACAAATATAACTGGTCATCTTTATGTTTTTAGGCATCGTCCCTAACTATTTTAAGCAAATAAGTGTTAATTTTGTTTCTGCGTCTTGCATTTTAGAGCACGTCTCTCCACAAAACTCAGATCTCTTTTGACTTTTAGATAACTTAGCTGCATTGAGTAATGATTCGAACAACATTGCATCGCAAACATTTTCAATATCATCCCTAGCCTCAACATTATATATTTTGAAAGTAAAATAATAAAAATTTAAACTCACCTTCTTTGGTAGTTGCTATAGCCTCTCCAGGTTCAATCTGTGACAGGAAAAACTTTGGCTTAAAATGGACGTAGGAAATAAAAGACACCTTTTTTGGAGGGTGCCTGATGTGAGGACCCCCAAGGTCCTGGATAAACACTATCACCACCATCCAACATGGCAAAACTCACAAAAATCCCATTTAAACAAATTACTATATTATGTCTTTGAAAAAAAATGATTAGCGTTAAAAAACCTTGTTTGACCATAAGAGTTTTTTTTTCCAATGTAAATGACGATTAGATAATTTTGCACACAACCTGCACATTCGACCTTAGTAGTGGTTGCCAAACGTTATTATTACGCAAAACGTCCACACTATTCACACTAACGGTTCGGACACGTGACGAAAACAAATCGCGAAAGAATAAAAGCAAACGAAAGTGCGAGAGCGTGTTTGTTGTTAGAGTCAAGGCTGTTGGTTATGTAGTAAATATTAAATCCGCGGCTTTACTGAGGCGCACCTGCACGCCTAATGGATCGTAGCCTTAGAAAAACAATACGGGTTCAAGCGATTAAAATGGTATGGAGAGACCTTCTTCCACCCACGCACGTATTATGTAAAACACTCAAATACAAAAAAAAACTATTAAAACTATTCCCAAAAAGGATTTATGTTAAACGAACGCCGTAATAGTAAAGTTAAACGTTTAAATAACGACGAGATATCCAACACAACTCGGTAAAGCGACTAATTGCGGCAGTTTAATTAATTACTTTGTAAGGTATAAAGTAGAAAGTCGAAGTTGGCCGTTTTAAAAGGAGTCTTGTATCCGGCCCAGATTGCCCGATATTTAGTTAAAGAAGAATTCCAAACACGTCATCAAACGAAACAAAAAAAGAATCGATTGTTCATTGTTCAATTTGACCAACGATCGTTCATTGACTATTCTAGTTTTTAATTAAAATTTTTTGTTTACGCCGCGCGCCGTGATGGGTAGGAGGAGCCTTGGGTCGCAAATTGCGGTTCAAAATTCAAGGATCGTGTACTGTGGTCGGTGTTGGCGCGGCTATTTTGCAATCGACTAGTTTACATGGGAACACTCTGGGTTTCTCGTTTATGGGTTAAGGAAACTTGCAGGTGTACCACAGGAAATCGAGATTGTAGTATGTGTTGTAAAAATGAACCTTGCAGTAGTGGTAAATATTTCTTACTACATTTCTGTTTTAATTAGAAAAAAATACAAGATGTAATGCGTATCGTTGACCTTTTGGTTTATAGATAAGATCTTTATTTTGATATTTATTCGTGTTGCAAGAAATTCATTTCCGTTTAATCAATAAAACTTCAAACAGTGTTGAAAATATTAAACTCGATATTTGAAGATATCAACATCATGGAAAATATGAAGGGTACTTGAGATATCAAAGATGATGTTAAGATACATCATCGACTATATTTGGCGATTCAAGATCGACATTAAGAGATGATGAAGGTGGAAATGTTGAGGGAAACCAAAATAGTAATGAGAGTCTTTAGGGATGATGTTGAAATATGTTAGGAACAATTTTATACATATATAACCGATATTGTACAACGAAGAGTTGCTGGATAATGAGGAAAATGTTGAGAGATGCCTCATCTATAATATGCATATAATATGTATATCTCAAAAAAATACTTTAAGATATCGAAGAAGATGTTGGCATATATCATGGATAATGTTTTAGGATATCAAAGACGGTATGGGCAAGTAACGAAGAAGATATTGAGAGAGATCAGAGGAGGAAATATATATAAGATAATATTGAGATATGCCGGAAACGATTTTATGTATAAACGATGCTGAGGAACATTATTTGAGATTATCAAGGATGTTCTTGAAAAATAACAAATAAATGAAATATGTTATTAATTGGTAATGGAGAATTTGATCACGAACCTTAATTAATCACAAGATTTACAATTTTATTTAACAAAGCCGTGGCATTACAATATGATGACCAGTTTTAGATTGATATAAGCATAAACATTGAACGTCGGCCGCAAGCGACCTCGGCTTTGTTGTATGATTGCAGACGATTAAGCCGAGGTTGAGGCATTACAATATGATAACCAGCTGTAGGTTTATATACCTAATTGTAATTACTGAGCCTCGATTGCAGGCGACCTCGGCTTAAAAGCAAACACTTCTGAATTTGTTGGAATTGAATGATTCTGAACGGCTGAGGCGTTAGAATGAGATGACGAGTTTTAGGTTGATATAATTTTAATCACTTATTAATAACTACAACTTCGGCTGAGTTTGTTGGAATTCTACGATTTTGTATGATAAAGCTGAGACCGTTCACGGTCGAGACGTTACAGTATGATCAGCAGTTTTAGGTTGGTATGATTTTAATCATTGAGCCTCGGCTTAACAACTACAACCTTAGCCGAGTTTGTTGGAGTTGTATGATTTTGAACAGTATGATCAGCAGTTTTAGGTTGGTGTGATTTTAATCATTGAGCCTCGGCCGCAAGCGACCTCGAGTTAATACAACCTCGGCTCGAGTTTGTTGGAGTTCTACGATTCTGTATGATAAAGCCGAGGCCGCTCGCGACCGAGACGTTACAGTATGATCAGAAGTTTTAGGTTGGTATGATTTTAATCATTAAGCCTCGGCCGCAAGTGACCTCGGCTTAATAACTATAACCTCAGCTAAGTGTGTTGGTGTTGTATCCAGTGTTGTTAAATACCCGGGTATTTATTTTCAAGGGTAAATTTCCTGGATATGTATACAGGGGTTTATTTTTTCTTATGAACGCCATAAGAATGACGTTTCTTATGAACGCCATAAGAATGGCGTTCATAAGAAAAAATAAACCTGGTGATAGTTTCACGAAAACGAAACGTCGGAGAAAATTTTTAGTTGTGTCAAGTCATAAAAACTTAAGAATGTTTTTTCAGATTCACGAAAAAACGAAAAATAAAGAGTAATTTTAAGTAATTTTTTTGTTTTTCGAGCATATTTTAAAAACTAAAACGGCTAGATCCAAAAACTTTGTTGAAAAATGATGAGCTCTAAGATACGCAACTTTGCCCCCATTCAACCATTTCTGTATCTCTTATGGTTTCTGAGATCCCAATGGTGGGGGTCGAATTTGAATTACCCAGTCTACCCGGGGTTATTTACTCAAGATGGGTATTTAGAGGTATTTATAAAATTTAATTTAAATTGAGTTGATGGCAGTTTTGCAAGCACTTCAAGAATGCAGAGTCGATTATCGATATACCAAACTTATTTATAACATCTACAAGAATGCTACAATGACGGTAAAATTGCATGAAAGTACTGAAGAGAGTAGAAGTAGTGAAGTACTGATTGTGAATAAAACAAGGCGATACACTATTGAATCCAAATTGTTCATCCCCAGGTGTTACAACATGATAACCAATTTTAGGTTGATATAATCTTAACTGCTGACCCTCTGCCAAAAGCGACCTCTGCTTATTACAAACAATTCGTTTTTATTTCTTGAGTTATCATTGCGTTTAATCACAAAAATTACCAAATTTAATATTTTGGGGATTTCCACTTTCTAACTATCACGTAGTAATAAATGTTTTAAATCCGGTTATGTATTTTATCTTTTTGATTCATTATAAACCCAAAATATTTCATTACATCTCAAGAAATATCAACGCACGATCAAGAAACGAACCCGAATTTCATGAAAAACCTATAATATTATTTTTCATTTTAATTTATGTGTTAATTAACGATGCAGTTCAAGGACGTGATTGTTAATGATAATAAAGTATCGCGTTACATTCGATTCCGGAACACGTAAACGTAATTATAATAAACAGGTAATAATAATAAACGGCGTAAAAGCGATTGTGTAAAATTCACGAATCACTTTCGATTGTAGACCGGCATTTCCCACAAATCTCCAGTTGTAAATCCTTCGTCGGCTGCTGAAGCCGCCGGAGGATTGTGAGAAAATCTCACGGAGCCGCAAGGTGGTGTCGCAACACTGACACAGTTCCGAGCCTTTAAACTGCATTTTAAATACAACCCATTGTTTACAAACTATTTAGACGAGGCTTAAACGATAAAATCTCCATTTTAATTATTATGTATAGTATATATAATACTAAATAGTTGATGTCATAAAATTTATTATGCTTATTTTATCGATTGCTACTTTTGAGGTAAATATATTTTTGTTTAAATTAATATTTAACATTACCAGAGGCCAAATTAAAAAAAAATTAAATAAATTTACACAAAACAATCACATATACACAATAACAATCACAACCAAAAAAAAAAATTTTTTAATTTAATTTTTGGGACTTGGTCACTATAAAACACTAACGTTTACTATCACCGGATTCGTAATGGTCCGGTTCGATGGTAAGTAAACGGTAGAGGGCGTTCGTCCGGACTGTTATTACGTCATTCGACGTTCAATTGTTCACCTGTAACGCGACTGCCGCGCCTTCCGTGACCTACTCGGATCGGATGCAACTAAACAGACGCGGACGTTTCGAATTCCGGCGGCGGCGTCGGAACGCCCTCAACGCCACCGCCCGTCGAAAATTGAAAGTAACCGGCATTCCATGGATACTAATCTGATTTAACGGGGACACCCCCGAGGCGTCAACACAACATTTTTTTTAAATTCAAAGATTAAAATTAAAAAAAAATTTTTTTCTAATTAAAATAGATTTCAATTACGTAATAATATAGAGGGATATAAAGAGGGCATCGCAATCACTCAAAGTTCCTTTCATCTACTTAGTTGGTGGGCGAACGTTGATTCGCGAAAGAGAACGTAACCTTTTGACATTTTGAATCAGAGGTCTGCGGTGTGCGTGCAAAATTTACGATAGTATGTAATAGATTGGAAAAAATTTAATGAAGAAATTACAAAAAAAATTAATTTGGGTTTGCAACCAAAAATGCAACTTTATATAAGTGTATAGTGGGTTGCATCATCTTAATTTTTTTCGTTCAATGTTGTAGAGGTAATCCGTTATGTAAGCTATGTTGGTACTAAAATAGTATGTATGTCAAGTCTATTTTAGGTCAAATTATTATTTTTTTATTGCCACAACAATGTGTAATCAACGATTGCTAATCTTAAGTATTATAATTATTATTGGATGGAGGTAATTTTCTTTATTCTAATAATTTCTTGTATTAAACTTGGTTCTAGTTATTTTGTAAAATTACTATATACATCACCATATTAAATCTAGATATACTAATATCTTGCCAAGCAATAATCCAATGATGCAGATAAAAAAGAAATACTATTTGTGCAAATTGAGATTGAAATGATAAGAAAGAGATTGAGCAGAGAGACTACACAAAGACTGGAAATAGACGAATAGAATAAAGATTGGAAAGACAAAAAGAAGATTGGTAACAAAACAAGAGGGAGAAAAGAGACTGAGCAGAGAAAAGGATGTCTGCAAAGAGATTGAAAACGCAAGAAAATTAATAGACATAGAAGAAGAAGGCTAAAAAAGCTGGAAAGAATGAAGACTGGGCATAGAGAAAGAGCCTTATTCAGTCAAAGAAAGGGATTTGGCAGTTTAGAAAACTACTGGAAAGAGAGAGTGGTTATTGAAAGATATTTGACTGAGAAGGTAGATACTAGAAATACACTGTAGAGAATAGAAAAAGGAAACTGTACAGAGATTGAAATGAGAATAAAAAGGCGGTGGAGAGAGAAAGGAGACGTATAAAATGCACTTCTTGGAATATGATTATGAAAATTTCCCAAAGTGTTAATAAGAGCGTCTCTTTCCAATGAACCAACACGTTTTGAAAAATAACTTTTAATTTTTGAGAAAACAATATTTGAAGTTCAAACACCTCCATATAAAAATTGGCGATAAATCAAATTCAAAAACACTTTTATTTTAAAAATCTTTTATTAAATAAGCTGATATAAATATCATTTAGAGCACCATCTATTAACGATGTAAGAAAATAAAATGAAGTTTTTAAGTTAACCTAACAAAACGTCAAATATTTTTGACAACTTTTGAACCAAATTTTATACAAGAAATTATTTAATATTAATTTTTTTGTACTCACAAGTTCTAAACCGATTGGTGGCCCAGCATCGTATTTCCTTTCGGAAATAATCTTTTGGTCTGTTTGCAACAAATCCGCAACTTCGGTCATATTATGACATAGTTCGTTAACCTGTAGATAAGATAAACGAACGGTGTTAAAAACCTTTAATTATACACAAAGTAAATTTGAATGGGAGTATTGTTAAGCAAAATTGGCAGCAAAAAATGTTGAAGTATTAGCAACAAACAAGAAAACCAGTTAAAATATGCAGAAATAAACGACTTTGCGAGTTTGTATCAAGGTCAAACGCGACCATATGTTCCTGACATCACTAATTCATTACTTCTGATCGCTTGAAACGAGAAGGTTCAAACCCAAAAAGGGTGGGCGTTATTTGTTTGGTATGAAACAACACTTCATGTTCGTTTCCCGTGTTTCCACTAATGGAACACCAACGTCCTTTTATTTATTTATTTATTAATAAACACGTACTTCACTTTTTCTTTCCACCATAAAGATATGCAAAAATGTCTTCAAATTTAGATGTACAAAGTTTCACTTTTAACGTCACAACTACAAATTATCAAATTCAAGGTTAAAAAATCGATTATATTTTATTAACATTTAGATTGTTTATTCAAGTGAATCAGGTAAATTCTTTGTGGTACTTAACTTCTAAGAATTATGAATCAGATTGAATCAGATTGAGAATATATATATTTAGCATAAAAATTTGCGACGAGACATGATTAAATACACTATAAAATGAAGGTTAACCTTGAAACGAGTCTCTTTAAAAACGACGAGAGACATAATCGACAAGGAGACAACCTTCTTAGTGCCATATTTGTATGCGGTGGATGTTGAGGCCCAGATTCAGATGGGTCAAGGTGGTACCTTTATACGGGAAAATCTCAAAACGAAATTTCAACAAGAATTTCTTTGAATCGGCTAAAACGCCTACGGGAAGAATTATTTATGCGTAGATAGAGAGATACAGTTAAAACGCATAATTTAACCAAGATTTCAAACATTAAATTTCATTTAATTAAGAAAAATAAATATAAGTAAATATGACTTTGTATAAATAACGGTGACATCACTTAGTTTTCTTGATTAAATCATTAAATGTTATTGCTATTAAATAATTAAAAATTATTTCAAATACTCACATCAAAATCGAATATAAATCTTAAAAACTCAAAAAATAAATAACCGCACTATTTTTAGCTTGATTTGTTTAGTTAATAAAGTTAAAACAAATTTTTTTTAAAGGAGTTAAACAAATTCGAATCGCACATCCGCGCGTCAATTGTCCGACTGGCCAGGATCTAGTGGGCCGTGGCGAGTCTAGATCACCTTGCGGTGTGCCGTAGGTGTTCTCGGAGTTCTCCGGGGCCTGATCGCGTTTCTTGACTCCGGGCTGTTTCGATTTTGAGAATGCAAAGACAACTTTTCGATCAATCGAATGAGAATTGAATTTTTGGGCGCTTTGTTTGCCTTTTTTTCGCGATAGTTACGACGATTACCGCTTATGTCTCTGAAAGACGGCGTCGTCGTCATCCTCCGCGTGTCGGAATTCCACAAGTCTTGCGTCATACCTGGTGGGTAGTGTGGATAAAACGTACGGAGGACAAGGTTTTTCTTATTTCTGTACGTTTATGTTAACCTGCTCTTAAAATGGTGTATTTGTAAATTAAAAATTCGTATTCCAAAAGGGAATTGAGATAGAATTAGGAAATAAAGAGAATTTAAACAAACTTTGCAATGGTAGATAGATTGCTTACAAATTAGACACTTTTGGTCTTAGCGAAATCAGATGCCCGAACTTTGGAGAAATGCATTTGCAAGAGGAGTTAACGTTTTGGTACTAGGACCCCACTGGAGATAGTGCAGAACACAAAAATGGAGTTGGTCTCTTTTTGACCAACTCTGACTACAGTCACAACTACCACAAGACTACATGATTATCAAATAACCACACTACAGCGAACCAGATACACCAGAAAAGAGGAGAATTAAAAGTTCTTTAAAGAACGTTAGGAACAACTTCTGTGGCAGCAACCATCATTTTGTTATGGCAAACTTCCAACTGAACCTCATGAACAACCTTGATTGTGGCTGTCAGAAGAAAGTTTGCGCAAAAGAGAATTGAGAAATCGCTTTGGAGTGCACCACAAGAATAGAAAACGAACGAGGCTCTAGCGACCGAGTATTGGCCGTTTTCTTACAAATTTGTTTTCAATAATTGAATAATCTATTACCAGCTTAGGCGCAAAGAAGTGCTTTATCATCTGTTCAGAGATATCCTAAAAATCTCAAAGCAACTTAAGACACAGAATACTTGAAAATCCTGAATTTGACGTTTTTGACATCAAATTTGCTCATAACTCAAAGCTGATTGATGATGGAAAAAAACTTTTTGTACAAAAAATGTACCAAATTAACTATTCAACTTTATATTTCATTCTTACTAACTTATAAGGCGTTAAAGTTAAAGTGTCCAAATTTGACGTCTTTGGAATAAAAATTTTTAATAAATCAAGAGAACCAAAATAGATGGAGAATAATATTTTACACAAAAAATCATTGCAAATTAACACGACAAACATCTATTAACGCAACTTTAAGATCTGACACAATCTAAGACATAAAATATTTGAAAATCATGTATTTGATGTTTTTGACATCAAATACATGATTTGACACTCATTAACTCAAAGCTGATTGATGATGGAGAAAATCTTTTTGTACAAAAAATGTACCAAATTATCCCAAAAAGCATCTTCCATAAACTCTTTAACTTTATCTTTCATTATTAGCAAGTTATCAGGCGTTAAAGTTAAATTTCCAAATTTGACGTTTTCGACATCAAATTTGCTCATAACTCAAAGCTGATTGATGATAGAAAAAAACCTTTTATACAAAAAATAAACCAAATGAACCCAAAAAGAAGCTTCTGTAAACAATTTAACTTTAACCTTCATTGTTACCAAGTTATCAGGCGTTAATGTTTCAAATTTAACGTTTTGACACCAAATTTGCTCATAACTGAAAGCTGATTGATAATAGAAAAATTTTATGTATGAACAATGAACCAAATTAAACCAAAAAATATTTTTTATAAACAATTCAACTTTACCTTTCATTGTTACCAAGTTATCAGGCGTTAAAGTTTCAAATTTGACGTTTTGACACCAAATTTGCTCATAACTCAAAGCTAATTGATGATAGAAAGAACATTTTATACAATATAACACAGTAAAACAATTTTATTTTATATAATTAATAAATTTAACATTTTATATCACAACATACAAAAGTATAAAAAAGTCATTAAAAATCTTTGGTTAAATTCTTTTAACTTTCTCCTTACTTAGAATCTTTAATTTGGTTCTAGACAACAAAAAATTACTTATATTAACAACATATGTAGATAAACATATAACACAAATTGTTTTAACCTTAAAAACCATCATGTAAGCTAAGAATGCACTCAAAATAACGGATAAAATGCTACAAATGAAATGGAATGTTGTTGAAGGTTTATTATTTAATTGTGAAAGAACTATTAGCACAGAATATGTTACAATCCCCAAGAGGCTATTTGGTTTGTTTAAAAAAAAGTTTTCTCCAAAAATATCTTCGATTATTCCAAATCCGGTTCCATATCTACAAATAAAAACATCATAATTTTGTATTATAAATTGAGCTAATACTTACTTTGATTTAAAAGTTTTACTACAACTTATAACATCGGATATATCACAATACGCTTTATAACTTTCATCTTGTTGTTCGATAAAGTACGAATAAATAGATAACCCCAAACCAATAAATGAAGATAGAGTTAAAGCGAAATTAATTCCATTTAATTTACTCATATTCAATGTTGTATAATCAATGTATCTTCGACAATAAGCTTCCAAGACAGATAGAGGAACATATGTTCGTGCGGTTATCACTTGGAAATGTATAGATATTACGAGCGTTGAAACACTTGACCGCAAACGTCAAACCGATCAGATAATAGCGGATGGATGCTAATTAATTGATATTAATCGAATTACGGCGTGACAAAGCGAAATAATCGATCCTTAGATCGCAGGCATGCGCCCGTGTTAGTAAACATTGTCAACGGCGCCATCTTTTAGGTTAGAATCACGTTGACAGCTAAAGGTTTCTGTGTCAATTAGATCTGGTGATTTTTGTTCTTTGAGTTTCACGTAGTGGTCGTTTAAAATAATACGATTAAAATTGGCTTTAAACAATTAAGTTTAATTAAAATTAATTGGAATTTAACGTAAATTTCATTTTTGATGATTAATTTTTAAAATTTCTTTTCGTTTATTGTATTATGGTAAATTTTACGATTTTTTAATTGAAAATTTTGGGTGTTTAATATAAAAGTTTGTTGTTATTTAATGATTTGCACTGTAAATAAGCGTTTGATTGTGTTTTTATGTGAATTTAAAAGAAATTTTCCGAGATTTCGAACAAAGAAACGGCTGTAGAGTGTTTGAGTTCGTTAGTTTGGTATTGATGGTATGTAGTTGTTTAGTTCGCCGCCAGAGGCGTGGTGGGTACGCGACATTTTGCTGGTTATCGACTTGTGTGCCTCTGGCGTTGTGTTTGGTGGTTTTTCGTGTGCGTTTTGGGGCACCCGGTCTCGTGTTTTATCGGACGCGTCTCGTAGATATGTGAAAGGGGGCAGGCGAAGTGCCCCATAATGTTCGTATACAGGTGAAGTGGGCCCCATGTGGATCGACCATGGACGCAGAAACTAAGCAGAGGCACCGGCGAAGAAAAAGGGCTTTGCGTATGGCTCAGGCCCAGCGCGAAATGGCCAAAGAAGGGGATAGTGGTGAGGATGACTCTCCCGTTAGGGAGAAACCCCAGCGGCCCCCAAACAGACGTAAAAAATCAAAGGAACCCCTCGTCGAAGAGGACATCATAGATGGCTTTGCCATACTTGGATTTAAATCTTATGAGGACTTGGAGGTGACTATCTTTTTTTTTTCTTTGACAGTTTATAAATAAACTTGTTTTAATTCTAATTCTGTTTTGTTTATGGCACGTGATGATAAATAAATTAATTTTTTAGATTCTCTAAATGTATTAGTAAATTGTAAATTGTTCAGCGACATTCCATCGTGTTTATACGAAGAGGCGTAAAGTTTACGTTTTTTCTTTTTAGTGCATCGTTTTCGGTACGCAATGTAAACACTTTTTTATTATTGTTTTAAAATCCTGTCTGGAAATGTAAACAACAGGTGGACAGTTTTTTTTTTGTTTTTGGTGTAACCTTTGATGTTTTAATTCACTTTTTGTGCCTATTATTTTAATTAACGACCTCTCTTTTCAGGATTGAAATATTACCCTCATTATTTTTATAAACGCACGTTATTAATGATAGTTTTATGTTTATAAATAAACCTTGAAGATTATTAACGTTTAAAAAAATAATTAAAGAATTAATATAAACAAATATTTACTGCCATCTATCGATTTTAATCCCCACTTAAATTTGTTGATGAAGTTAGAAACAAAGCATTTTATTATTAATAACTTTATTAATTTTTGAATGATTTAGTTTTATCATTTTTTAAGTCAATTTGATCCATTTACAATTAAAGGGATAAATTAAATAAATTTTATGGTAAAAATGAATTAAAACGGTTATTTGATTCGGATTAGTAACTAACTTCATTTTGGTTTTTTTGTTTGTTGACATTTAGTGGTTGACAGATTCCAAATTGCTTAAAAATTCAAGAATTTTTATCAAAATTTAACTTAAATTTGTTCTAATTCTCTTCTGGGATGTTAAATTATGTATTACGATGACTTTTTGATATTTTAAAAGTGAAAAAAAAGATTAAGTAAGTAAATAAGTTATTAAAGAAAAAATTTGAGGTTGTTTCGATATAAACTTTAATATTCCAATCGTAATATTATTTAATTTACGTTTTTTATTGAATTTTCAATAAAGTGAGGAATCATCCATAAAGTTATTATTTTAATTAATGTTTAAAAAATAAATAACCATCTATCGGTTTTAATCCCCACTTAAATTCGTTGATGAAGTTAGTAACAAACAATATTACTATTAATAATTTTATCATTTTGAATGAAATAGTTTAATCATTTTTTAGGTTAATTTGGTCCATTTACAATTAAAGTTAAAGGTTAATTAAATTTTATGACAAAAATGAATTAAAACGATCATTTGATTTTAGTTAGTAACTAACTTCGTTTTGGTTTTTTTGTTTGTTGACATTTAGTGGTTGACAGATTCAAAGTTGTTTAAAAATTCATTAAAACTTAACTTAAAATTCTTCTAAGCCTCTTATAGGATGTTAAATTATGTATCAAGATAACTTTTTAGATATTTTAAAAGTGAAAAAACGATTAAGTGAGTAAATAAGCTATTACAGAAAAATGTTGAGGTTATGTTTGGAATTTAATGGAATAACTGCTTTAAAAAATGGGAAAGCACCAGGCAACTACCAAAGCAACTATTTAACGGTCTTTAGAATTTAACAGCAAAGCTAGAGAGATGTGGCTAAAGTGTATTTTCTTAAATAATATTTGTAGTTGCTATTTCAACATGCTTAACATACCTACGTCATCGTCAAGCGTAACATTTTCTATATTGTCCCATAATTACTTAGCTATGTAACTAAAACATGCTTCTAGTTATCATTATTTGTCGTCAACATGTAAAATGCTCTGCATATTCCCCCGTTTTTATATTTAGCAATGAATTCCTGCATATTTGTGAATTATTGTTGATGTTGTTAGGTACATATCGATTTACTATAATTTTTTTTATTTGGTAATATAAACACAAAAAGGACACCGATCGACTATTTTAATCAAATTGATAAAGGAATCGATAACGATTACAAAAGCGCAATAAACCCGAAACAATCGTATAGATGATATTGAAACATGGGTCGAGTACTAGACGAATATTGATACGTTTACAAAAAGTAATATCATTAATCGCTTCGTGATGCGATCTACATGTGTCTTTAAAACAACGACATTCAAGGAGAGACTATCTGTGTCGATAATTATGAACAATTTAATATAAATATCAATTTGATTAAACGATTCTTTGCATCATCAAATACTTCGGAATAAAACTTGGTTTCAAATTCAAACGCAAAAGCACTAATTAATGCATAGTGACACATGTTCCAATTAAAAGATCTCCAATTAAAGACTTAACGCTCTCTCTATGCCAACTAATTTCGTGATTGTAGCTTACGTGTTGTCTCTTAAAAAACATTTACAATCGTTAAACATTTATCTACAGTCGAAGAGTGAGTCAGAATTATTAACAAGTCATTTACGGGTTTTGAAAAAGATATTGCCATAAAACTACATTCTATTTGTTGGGAAAAGGTCCTAGTCGTGGAAGTTTGACAATAAAATGGCATGATTTGAAGCTAATCAAGACGTACAAAGTATAAGGATAACTATTTAGCTTATGCCAAGATTCCACTATTGCTGTTACATCTTAAACATTCAGAAATACATCTTTAACTGTTTGTAGTTTTACAATGGTACAAGAATCATACAACAGCAGAGTTTAGAAGGTGCGATTACGAGCATTAATTTTTTGTTGCCCTTTGAAGAAAACTGGTGAAGAATTGCATCGAATGCATGTCGAAGCTTACTCTTAGTAAATTACATTGGCTTGACTGTAAGCATTTTTGGATGTTGCTCAAACACAACAACAAGTCGTGGATTGATTAAATATGGGACGAGATGGCTTCTTGATACGTTTGAAAGCCATGGGAAAGATTCAGAAGATGGGTTCTGTATAAACTGAATGATACACAGCAGGTAAACTGAAAAATCATTTTTGCTAGCTACCCATGTTAGCAGGCTACTTTAAGTTTACTTAACATCTCTTGTAATTCCTCGGGATGGGCGCTGAAGAGTACGATTTTATTTGCAAAGCGAAGGTGATTAATCTAGTCTTTTGAAAGCTTCCTCCAGTAAAAGAGCAAACAATTTTGGAGAGATCTGGAATCTATTCTTGCAATATCCATGGCTGTAGAAATTGCCCATAGCTTTGTTGTAGGCTATAAGAGGTAGATTGTGGCAACTCCTTCTAGTTTTAACATCTTGACCTGGTGCTCTTTCGTTTATCATCTGCGTCAAAGCGTATTACATTCGTTGTAATGTCTGGTATGTCTTCATTATTATCTGAAGATGTCTGTTTGAGATTGAGAGTTGGTTATTCTTTAGAGAACCATATAATAACTCAACGCTACAGCTTAATTAATTAGAAATACAAATATTTAGAATATTTTAATAAAATAATAATTTTTTAAAATTTTAACAGCTTTAATCTTCAACAAGTAATTACCGTAATGGAATCTGTTCATATAAAATTATTTCAACACATGCTGCACCTATTACTTTTTTCTCATTACGTAACGGTTCGTTTTTTTATCTTCAAGTGAAAACGAGAGAGAGATTAGATGTTTTTGTACGGCGTTTCGGTGCAATAAACTGCTACCACCACATGCTTACATTTAATTAAGTTAATTGAAAACTGCTATCATCGCGATATAAGCAACGAAAAAAAAAAATTACACTCCAAACGAGCCACTCTCACTTAAAACTTATCAGTTAACATGTTAGAGCACTTGAAGTGAGTTTAAAAAGGCAACCGCACATCCTTTACGATTTAATCAAATTCGTTGTAAGCACCTCGTTCCAAATAATTACTATTTCGATGATGTTTGTCTAAGAAAAATATCATTGGTTACTTATTACACCGAGTTATCTGTTTCTTTAATCAATTTTCTTAATGATTTTTTATAATCTCTTTCTAAATCTGTTTGTTTATGTTATCGTAAAAAAAAATGATTAAAACCGAAATGTTTTTATTCACTAACGTGTCATTCTACTTGACATTTCATCTTTTCACCGTCTTCAAATTCGAAAAATGGCTGAATCCGCAACTGCCGTACCATCTCAAACCGGCGAAGCAGATGTTTCAGCGAAACAATCGGAAATTATGAAATCAAAATCCGATTTAAGTCCGTCTTATTCCCTCGAAAATAAAAAAGACATTCTTCGACCGAGCCAATTAATGATTAAGCAGATTTTGAAAGGTTTGGGTCACCACTCTTTGGAGTTAACGTTCCCTAGTATTCCCCCCGAAAAAGCGGTTCCAATGTACTTCGAATCCGTGCAAAACAAAAGGAGCATGGTGGATTTTCCTAAATATAAAGAAGAAATAAACGTTACGAATTGTTTGGCGCGCGTTAGAAATGAAAGGGAATTAACGGCAATGGAAATATGGTTGGCAACGTGTCGCGAATTAGCCGTGACTCGCAGAGAGATAATGGACGAGCAATGGGAGAGTTTGCACGAAAAAGAAAATGAGTTGCGAACGGCTTTCAGAAAGTTCAACGTCTTTATTAGGGAAAACGAAGAAAAACGCGATCGATCCATTCGAAAGCTTGAAAGTTTACGCGAACTCGACGAAATTCGCGCGATCGAATTAAAGGAATTAAAACAAAAATACGATTTCGCCAACAAAGCGAAAGATATGATGGAAAAAAAATTAAAAGAATACTCGATGTACGAAGATTATCTTAACGAAACGTCAAACGCGAGTAAAGGGGAATTTCGATTAGCCGCTGAATTAATAACGCGTTATGAAGCTTTATTAGAAGCGAAAGCTTTAATCAAACAAAAACACGAAGACCACATCAAACAGTTAGAAGAGGCCGTTATTTGTATGAGGAGACAAGAAGAGGACGCTACGTTAAAACTAATCGGGTTGCGAAACTATTCGGGGCAGTTATTGGAAAGATACGAAAAAGCTAAATTTAAATCGTTGAAATGGGAGTCGATTGTTGGGTTAATCGATGATTATTCGATACATACAAGGGAAGATTTGGTGAGGACGAAAGCTGCGTGTTGGGATATTTATACGACGCTTGCTAATCGAAAAGAAGTTGATATTGAGTTTGAAGAGGGCGAGATTAATCCGCAATTGATTTTTATTAAAAAAACTATGGAGGAATTAGATTTTATTATGAGCATTTTAACGAAAATTAGGAAGAAGGACGATGAGATTTAATTTTTTTTAATTTATTTTTATTTAATTTATTTTTATTTTATTTTTTTATAATCCATTATTATTCGTTATAATAAATAATTATGTTGATTAAAACATTTATTATTACATAAAGTGAATTGATCAGCTCGTAAAAGAGATCATCGGCCTCGGCGAGGCAAACTATTCGACACATTACAAAATTATCAAATATTACTTACAAAACTTAGAAATTACCAGAAATTGATAAAATTTATGCACCATCGTCTTTGATCAATTAAAAATCGTCAGATATATGATAGAAATCGTTACTGATTGTTTAAATTATCAGCAATCTGATATAAATTGTGCGAAATCGGCTAAATTCAAAGCAGTTTGTTCAAAATACTTAGAAAGTAACAAGAAATGATAGCGACTGTATAATACTGTCTTTGATCTAATCATAATTATCAGATATCAGATAGAAATCGGCAATATTATCAGAAATATTACTTATAAAACTTAGAAATTAATAAAACCTGTACAACATCGTCTTTAATCAATTATAAATTGTCAGGTATCTGATAGCAATCGATTCTGATTGTTTCAATTATCAGAAATCTGATATAAATTGTGAAAAATCGGCAAAATTCTAAGGCGCATTGCTTAAAATATTTAGAAATTCGCAAGGAATGATATCAACTGTGTAAGTGTTCAATACTGTCTTTAATTTAGTCGTAATTATCAAATATAAACCGTCAAAATTATCAGAAATTTTACTGTCAAAACTTAGAACTTAACATAAATTGATAAAAGCTGTGCAATATCATCTTTGATCTATTAAAAATCGTTAGATATTTGATAAAAATCGTTACTGATTCAAAAACCTGATATAAATTCTCAAAAATCGGCAAAATTAACAGGCATATAATTCAGAAACAGCCTGTATAGAAAACGACTACTTACTTGGAGAACTTTGGGAGTAGAAGAATTGATCAGCTGGTAAAAGAGTTCATCGGCCTTGGCGAGACAACGCCTCAAGGCAAACGGCTCGACACATTCCAATGTAAAGTATTTATTCGTAATTGAGAAACACCCTGTATAGAAAACGACTACTCGCTTGGGAAACTTTGGGAGTAAAGTTTTGATTGAGTTTTGGTTGGAGTAACGCGGTGGAAGGGGGGGCGGTCGGACGGCCCGTTCCTTTGTTGGAAGAAGTGATTTAGAATGTCGGATGGAAAATAATGTTGCGACTTTGCGAAGTTTGCACTCGGTTAGAGGCAATTTTGCTTCGCCGGCAGGTATTAATATTAGTTTAGTTAACGAGGAATCGGCGTCGTCGTTCGGTTGGAGTTTTAATGAACTCCGGATCCTCGGCTCTCAACCGGATGACGAACGGGAGCATCTTCTAACGATTTATCACGGTTTAACGACGAAATCTGGTTATCTCGGATTTGCACGGATAATGCGTGCAAACAAAACGGTACGCGAATTCGGCAAATTGATCGCGAACCATCTTGATTACGGCTTTGTTTGGATTACCCTCACTAACCTAATCTAAAATTGATTAACAGGACAGCATCGAGTATCAATATTTGAGCACCAGATAAGCGAATTGTGTACGTCGAGTGTCGTCTTGTTTACATTGCCCCCTTGTTGCATTAACATCACATGTTCTCCATAAACCCAAAACGATCAAATAGATACTCCTACACAGATTCTAACAATCTCATCGAATTTAGTCTTAAATAAAGAATTAGGTAATTTGAATACGAAATAAATTAACAAGTCAATTTCCTGGACGTAACGGCGTAACGTAAATTCGTTCGGAGAAGCAAAAAATTTACATGCAAATGACCCCTTCCGTTTACGAAGGCCCAGAAATTCGTATTCGACGACCTCCGAACGTCATTCTCACGGTAAGTCTGAACGGCTCCCGATGACGAGGAGAAGCCCTAGCCATATAGGTGGCAAGTGCGGAAAAAAAACTGAGGTTGTGTCCCGGCGTGCGTGCCGCGAGGTCGACGACCGTCTCTCTCTCTTTAAAGTCTCAGGTGAGACTTTGTCGTCGTCCTCAACGAATATGTCAAAGAAGTTGTAAATTATCAGCTTTTTTATGACATTAATATCAATTTTGAAATGTTTTGATTTTCAAAATATCAGAAATCTGATATAAATCATAAATATTCACGCAAAATTTACCAAAACTGAGTAATATCATTGATAATTTATTCTAAATCTTTAGTTATCTGATAGAAATCAGTTGAGGATACTCAAATTATCAGAAATTTGATGTAAGACATTGTATAAAATATTGTTTAAAGTACTTAGAATTTGACGAAAATCAATAAAAGCTGTGAAACGTCATTTTTAATTTATTCAAAGTCATTAAATATCTGATACAACTCGTTTGGGTGTTTAACTTATCAGATATGTGATAGAAATCGTTAAAGTGTGAAAAATATAAGAAATATTGCTATTATTTGTAAAAGCTGAATTACATTGTCTTCGATCTAGTTAAAAATCATCAGATATCTGATAGTGTCTCTTTGAGATTATTTGAATCATAAAAAACCTGATAAAAAACGTGAGAAATCTGCAAAATTAAGACGTGTAAAATATTTAGGAATTCATAAAGAATAATAACGATTGTGTAATACTGTCTTTAATTTGGTCATAATTATTAGACATCAGATAGAAATCGTCAAAATTATCAGAAATATTACTTACAAAATTTAAAAATTACCAGAAATTGATAAAAATCATGCAATATCGTCTTTGATCAATTAAAAATCGTCAGATATCTGATAGAAATCGTTACTGATTGTTTAAATGAATGATAACAACTATGTAAGTGTGCAATACAGTCTGTAGAGAAAACGACTATTCACTTTAAATACTCAATTAACAGAAATTCATAAAAATTGACTATGATCCATTGAAAATCATCAGATATCTGATAAAACTCGTTAGAGGTAGCTAATATTATCAGAAATCTGATACAAATCGTGATAAAATAAATTGTAAGAAATTTTATTTAAAATATTCAACAACGATTACGTACCATCGACTTTAACTTATTCAAAATCATCAGATATCAGACAAAAATCGTTAGGTGCTTCAAGTTATCAGAACTATGATTTAAATAAATGATATAAATCGTTCAAAATTGACAAAATAATAAGGATTATTTCATGAAATACTTAGCAATTTATAAAAATAACATCTTTAACATAGTCAAAATCATCAAATGCCTGATAGAAATCGTTAGAGATTGTTTAATTTTTTTTAGATATTTTATATATAGATATTTCATATCAGAAATGTGATATAAATCGTAAGAAATCGTCAATCAGAAACTTTTATATAATAATTTTTTTGGCTAGTTTGTAGTTAAAGCTATCTTCAGTAACAATTCGTGAGGTTTAACTTTGTTGCGATGATATATAAATATATATATATATATTTAGTTACCGATTTCGTTTTTCCCATCATCAGGTGTCGCTGCCAATGTGGAAATAAAAAGAACTTCATACAAATTATTGCAGAAAGTAATTAAAAGTTATCAAGGGTTTGCTTAATAACTGAGATTAATAGTTAAGAGTCATTAAGAGTTTCGAATTGCAACTCGGAATAAAAATTGTGATGGTAAAGATTCGAATAGTAAAAATTGTAATAAAACCTTGAAATTTATTACAACCCTTAGATCTTCTTATCGCATTAATTCCCCTTCTTGAACGACTCCTGACATTTACACCCCCATTTAATAACGGGTCGTTTGTTTTTATTACAGTTGGCGCTAAAGATTCAAACCAAGGAGAACGTGAAAAGACTGGTAGACGTCGAGAGGCCGAAACTCGACCCCATAAGGCCACACATCATAACGCACCACATCTCCGCGCACCACGCACACGTAAGCTACAACCCCTTCTAACATTATTTTCCATTGTTTCCTCCCCCCTTTCTCTCCACCATTACTGCCAAAAAAGAGGCAAAAAAATGGGGGAAGGAAGAAAGAAAGCCGCCCTATGGGGGGTGTGGGTCGGGCGGAATGTGCAGTTCCCATTACCCACTTCATCTGTATTCATGGCCGGCCTCAAGCCGTTAGATGGCGATGCGAGCGGTATTTTACTCCCAACCCCTTCGCCCAACCCCCACGAAATCCGTGTTGTTCCGGACCGGGAAATTGCTCGGGAAATTATTTTTATTCTCTCCGGCTGAGGGACGCGATTTTTTTCTTTTTTCCGAAAGAGCACGACTTTTGTCTTGAAATTAGTTCCGAGAATGTCGGATAAGAAGGAGATTACGTTTACCTCTTCTTTGTGTTTTCAAAATGAATGTGGAGATGGATCGAATAATACAACTTGTTTATTTGTTGTTTGTTAAACTAACATAAGATTAACTCGGGGAATTTCGTGGTTAGGATACCTAAATGTTAAATTGCGGTTAATAAACTCGTCACCGAACGGGCCGCGACCATAAAAATCGAAATAAACCGTCCCCTTGGGGGGGCAACGCATAAGGAAATGCACGGACATTCAACCTTTACGACTCGCTGGATGGATTCGAACGACGATATCCGTCCGGGCAGGTAATAAAGGCGCCTTTAATGGATATTTCCATTTTATACATAGATGCAAATCGAGCCGTAATTAATTAAATCGTTGTGTTTACGTTCTTCGCGAGATGTCTAAATACGTGTAAAGTTAAACGGAACTTAGAACAAGAACTATCTCATTTCCACACAATGAAACGGTTACGACGCAGAAATAAAAAGTTAAACTATTCAAATTACTATATGCATCAAACGCATTGTGTTCAAGTTGAACACGCAATTGTATATAAATCAGAATTTACAATTAGGTACTTTTGGAATGTCAGGCATTTAAAAAATTTTTGCTTATTATTCAATTAAATATTCCTAACTTGTTATTTTGTTTTGAATTATTTTATTAAAAAATCGCCTTGTTAATGACCATTGCGACCGGCGCGGCGCGTATATAAAACCGCAGCAATTAAATGCAATAATGTAGGGTTAGGACTAATTGCAAATGTAAATCTCGATTGGCATTCGTATAAAGTAACATTCCAATTTAAATTTATTAATACTGATACAGTCCAAATCTCGTAAATGGTCGTCGCCGGGCAATTTACGGCAATTATCAGGTTTATGTAATGACGAGTGTTACCTTTTAATTACATAAAATTATAATTGTAATTATTAATATTTGAATATTCATTTCAAATAATTGTAGGGAAGACAGCAAATTTATCCTTGGATTTATAAAATTAATATATTATGTAATTAGTTTTAATGTCTTTCTTCTATTAACAGATATTCTTTCTTTGTCCAGTTACTTTGTTAACTTTTCAATTTCTGTTCAGGCTGTTTCTTGTATTAGCAGTCTTTTCTTTTCTCTTTATAGTTTCTGGTCAATTCGTTTCTTGACTTATCCGTCTTTTTCTAGTCCCCCCATCTTTCTGCCCAGTTAATTTTTGTCTTTTCTAATCACTTTCATCTTTTTTTAGTATTTGTCAAGTTTTTTTTTTCCTATTACCAGACTTCTTCCTCTCTGTCCAGTCTCTTTCTTTGTTGTTTTCTTTCTTTGTAGTCTTTCACTCATCTATCCAGTCTCTTCTTTTCTTTACAGTCTCTGATCAGTATGTTTTTTCTACTGCCAATCTCATCTCAGACTTCTTCTTCTTTGTCCAGACTCTCTTTTCTCTTTGCAGTTTCTTCTCGGACTCTTGATTCTGTCACCAATCTAATCCAAAATATGTTTGAAGTGTCACTTGTTTAGTTAGAAATATAAAATATGACATTTTGATATGTGTGACATGTCAGAAATACAGTGGCGGACAAAAGTCTACATACAACAATAAATTATGAAGTTTTTGTACAACGTAGTAAGATAACAGAAAATTAGTACTAATAATTAGTATAAAATCAAACTCTAGATAATTTTCTTCAAAAATTTTTACACGAAACATCATTTTGATTTACAGAAACACTTGTATAATCGTAAAACGACTGACCATGCGGATTCTGTGCTTGTGATAGCAGTAATCAGTGTTCTGTGATAAAAATAGATAGCCACCAAACAATTTTCAATAGCTTGAGTCTGTAAATATACGCAAATCCAAATATAAGTAGGAAATAACAGTTTTGTACCTATAGAATTTGATATAAAAGGTAAAATAATAAAGTTATAAAAAGCTTTCAGTGAGGAAGCTGTGTTGGTATAAGTTTCAACGTCGCGTCGCTCGCTTGTAAATTGAAATTTCCTGAAAACTATTTTTGTCGTTTTTGCGCTTCCTTATAGAGTATATGCAGGTACAGCATAACATGCACATTTGCAGTGTATACATGTATGGTATATGCAGGTAGATATAGGAAGAGCTGGGGCACCGAAGCATGTCGGCCATTTTCAAAACAGATGAACGGCGCCACGTCAGCGCAAATTGCCCTAGTACACGCATGGGGGCGCTCCAACATCTCCTGTATACATTACAATTTAAATAATACACCTTAATTGCCCCGTCATTTGTGCCAATTTAACCATTTGCTGGTAATGCGTATAATTTTTGTAATTGCGCCCTGTTCGTTCGCGTAATCGAAACGGCTCTCGCTTCAAATCGCCAGCCCGAGATATCAACCACGAACGAATACTCTGCAAAAAGCTCGTCGCCATCGAAATGGGGGTATAAATATTTATGCGCCGACTTGTTCGTGCCGGCCCGTAATGGGCTTCGGGTTCGCCCGCTGTAATTCAATTTGCGCTTGTTATTGGCCGGCGCGCGAAATTAAACCAACTTTCAACATTAAAATTAAATTAGATGGTCGGCGCTGTTGCCACTTGACAACTAAATCTGGACATTACCAGCATTGTTCCTTTATTTATTACCCAATGAATACATTATTCAAGCTTTTGTAAAAAGATTGTTATTAGGCTATTGGAATTATTTATTTTTACTTTTTTTTTTTTAGGGTCTAACGTTACAAGATCCTGCCACAAGCGATGATAGTGGTAGAGCGTCTGAAAGACTTACAAGTTCCTCAGTGGCTCCCAGAGACGCTGACAGCTCCAGGGATAGACTTAGTGATGTAAGTAACCGACAAGAATCGCTTTGTAAAACGGCTTTGTAACGCTGTCTCCGACCGAAATTTATGTGCCCCGTTTTAATTTTCAGGCGAGCAGTCGCTGCAGTTCTGGCAAAGGATATATCGTAAGTACTTCCCCTCCGTCTATCCGCATTTTAAAACTTTCTCGCCCCACGATATGAAATTGTAATCAGTGTCCTAACTTTGGTCGTTTCGCTAGATTATTCTGGGTTGCCCTTCTCGCGTTGTCCTTTCTTTTTTTTATTGCGACCAAAAACTTTTAACTTATTGCGCCTCTCCGTTACTTTTTGTCGTCGTTTTAACGTTGATTATTTTGTGTTTGTTTCAGTGTGATAGCGAGGGGGATGACGATAAGGTGAGTTTTTTTTCTTGTCGATTTTGTACCTTGTACAAAACAAATAATCGGAATCAATTTTTCACCCGCGCGGTCGAACTTAGAATCGACAGCACGACGTTATCGAGTCACGTCCCGAGGGGTGACGGTCTGAAGAAAAAGGGGGACCTCCGACAAAGCCGAGAGTAAGGTCCCATAAATTTTTCTACGTGTTTCGCAAAGACCAGCTTACGGGATCTCAAGCCACCCCGCGCGCGAGGGAGTCGGGTTGGGTTTCTTTGGGGGGTCGAAAAGCTCGAACGGCAACGATGGCAACGACGGCAACGACGTTGGTGGTGTTGTAAAACGGAAAGGCGCGTAAATCTCTAGTCGCGAGCTTGACAAAGCTGTTTTTTATTGGCGCATTTATTGCCTTCGACACGACGAATAAAGCGGGAGGTGACGGTCGAAAAGGGGTTGGGTAATTTCCGCGAAGTCTTTTTAGCGTTCTGCAAAGGTTGACGATAATGCTCTCCGCATCGGATTAGGGGTATACAGTTACGAGGGGATATCGATTGACGTTTTCGAGTTGTTTACCCCTATTACTATCCGAGAAGGTATAAAAGAAGTTTCGATGGGGACGGTTGTAAAAAGATAATGGCTCGTGATGAAGAATACGGATCAATTATCATTGTATTTGCTATACTAATTTAGCATTTCCCTCTTTTATAGTGCCAATTATTGTCAACCTTGTCGGGTTTGAAAACAGCCATTTCAGAAAATTCTTGGTCGTTATTTCCGAAGCCATATTTACGACTGAATCCACTTAACGCACGCCGTGGTATGGCCAATTGAACGCAAAGTGTTATTAATTTTGCATTTGCTTTACTGCCATGTTTTCCCTCGTCTGAATGGTAGTAACTTCCCGAGGCCGTGTTTACCGGCAATTGCGAATCGGGCAAAAACAATAAACGCCTTACTCGGAATCCGTTGCTTACTTTGGTCTGTATGGCGACGTTTATCGGTTCTTTTACAACGGGTTATTACGCGCCAACTTTACGATCCGTTCAATTTTGAATCGTCGTTCGTCGAATTTCCGCGGAATTCTTTCGCGCGACCAACGTCGTCGGCGCCATCATTCTCTCTGTATTGTGTCCGCTCGTCGTTAAAAAAGCGCGTTAAGTCGCGCTCGACGCTCGGCTCGTTAATAATTTACTATCCGCCGGTTTATGCGACCGGCAGTAAAAGCATATTTAATAAACACGACCCAACCAAAGGCACTTACGACCCCGAATTGACTGCTATACATCGCCATAAACGCCTGTACGCCCATATTATGACCGTGTTTATCGTTTGCCGTTAAGCCAAACCTTTTCTTTAACCATTTTTGTACTTTCACAATCTTTAAAATACTATACGTGAAATGCACTGTCATTATTTTTTTTTTTACCTTTTTATATATAATAAAAATGTTATCAAATAGATACTAGAAACATTTTTATCATGTTTTTATTTCGAATTAATATTTATACAGGGTGTGTCAAATCTCTGGAATATAACCAATAACATCTATAATAATTGTGGTTTTAAAGGAAAATGTTTCAAATAAAAAAGACGAGAATCTAGTTAAGACGATTTATCTGTCAATTAAAATTGTACCTGATAGAAAACGTCGACGAATCGTTTATCCGCCCGTAGTTTAGGGTCATCTTATAGGTAAATATGACATTTAGATACCCACCAGATTGAAGTACTGGTTGAGGGTTTATCTATTAGATATTGTGTTTTTTAAAAATAAATAATGTTTATACTCCAATATATTTTATAAATTTATTAACTCTACCGGTTTCGGCCTAACCCATCGTCAGTTTTAAACGTTCATAAAATACAATTAAATTAAAGATAAAATTAAAAAATATAAAATGTTACTTTACCTCGTTGTATAAGGTTGAGGTTAGGAAACACATTCAAATTTACATTCAATTATATTCAAATTTTGATATATCATTAATGGACTGTAAAAATGAAATAGAATGATGTATTGAAACAGATGTTTATCGAAAGTTCTAACAATTATTGTATTGGTTTCCATAGCAACAAAACAAACAACAGTACATATAAGCAAATTACTATCGCCACGATTAATAAAGAAACCACAAGTGACGAAGTTATTGGCTATATTCCAGACATTTGACAGACCCTGTATAAAATGATTCTCCTGATGATGTTACATGTGGATTGAAATCGGTAAATTTAAGACTGATAAGGGGGAGAAAATCCTGTATATATCCTGGTTCATTGGGGTTGATATTGATTTTTAGGCCAATTGAACGAAGCAAATTATACTAATCCATATTTTGGATTAATATCTATAGCAGATCTGATTTTAAAGCATTTCATTATAATTATACCAACTTCACCTGATTCGTTACGGTTGATTTCGATTTGTGATCTGATTGGGTGGAGGATGTGATCAAAAAATCGCCTTAAGATTGTTGAAACACTTCATTAAAAGTCAGGATTCAATCCACTCTTAGCTTGAAATAGTATTTCTCTAAATTCCAGTTTGCATTGATTACAGACTTCAAATTTGGTCCCCTTTACAGATAATAAGATTCCTCACAAATACATAACGGAAGTTTTGAAAATTTTGTTATATCTGTTATGGTCAGTGTGGGTAAACCTGTAATTTTCATGAGTTATACTCTGGATATAACTGGCATATAGCTCTGGATGTGTACGTTAAATCATACACATCCAGAGTTATCAGTGACTACAATATTTGTGGCAATGTCAGAGGATCTAAAGGGATGGTATCTAGGCGGAGGAAATATACAAAAAATTCTGCTGGCAACAAAGCTTACTATACAATAATAGTTTATGTAATGAAATCAAAGGATGTATATACGAACATAAAGTTCCGGATCTATAAAACAACTTTACAGCTCCATAATGATGTATGGCTGTGAGACTCAGAAATTGTCAAATAGCATAGACGTCTTTTAGAGGAAGATTCTGAGGATTGTAGGCCTAATATATAATAATCGCATATGGAGGACAAAATATAACTAGGTGCTATACAGCTACTATAAGGTGCTAGAGTACGTCATGATCCAGGGATTGCAATTGACAGGGTATGTTGGTAGGATGAAGAAGCATACTGAAGCAACTGGTTAACAGGAGTATGTAAGGAGAGAGATCTAGGGGATGGCCGAAAGCAAGATGAGAGGCTGAGATGGAGGAATATGCTTGTATCCAGAATCTGTTATGGGCAGAAAGTGTTGGAGGCAAAAATTGAGGAATTTGAAATAATAACGATTTCTTCAAGATCCTTTTCTCTGAAGCAAGAAATTCTCTTCTCTTCTTCTTAATCAACAAATACCTATTACGCAACAAATATATTCATATTGAAATGATTGATTAATAAAAAAATAATTAAATTTTAGCATCAATTTAACCACAAACTAAATTAAATGAAAGAATGTTAAGAAACTGGTCGGATTCTGTGTTGATGTGTACATACTTGGATTTAATAGTTCCAGACAACGAATAAGCAGATTCTTAAAAGTAGAATAGAAAGTCGATGTCTTAGCATACATCGGCCATTTACAGTAAACTGTGTCAGTAGTGATTGTTATATAACCAATATTATTCAAGAAGTCTCTATAAAGGAGAAAATTTCTCGCTGTCACCAAGACAAAGATAAATTGGTGAATTTTTTTTTCAATTTTTTTAATTTTTCTTTTAGTGACTGTCGCAATAAGACTTAAAAGACGCTGAAAGAAAAGTTCCCGATATCTCATAATCTTAACTTTCACCTCGATCCTGGGTACGTGTTGCATAAATTTAAACGCCGTTTTACTACTACGGGTCGTAAACAAAACCGTTAATTGCGGGATCCCGAGGACAATCCCGTTGGGGTAAACGGGCCGCGCTCGTAAACCCTAATGGAAACGGAGGGTTTTCGCTGATCACCCCCAAAACACCCCAGACGGTCAAAAGAGCAAGCTACGGACTTTACTTAATTGAGTGTTGAAACTTATTTTGGACTGACCTTGAAAATGAGGAAATTCGCATAGTTAGACATAGGATTCGTGTTGGAATCTCGAGATAAATTAGTTTGAAATGAGTATTCGTGTCGCGTACACAGTAGTAGTGGAGAGTTAAAATTTGTGGAATAAGACGACGACGACGAGCGACTTTTCCTTGGAAGTAAAAACGTTCGCGTGTCCGTAACTGGTAGTAGTCGCGTGCTACCCGTGTATTTTCCGTTTTTTATTGCCGTTTTTGTACGGCGATAAAGTGATTTGTGTGTGAACCATTGCGTATACTTTATATTTTGTTATTATATAATGATACGGCTTGACAAAGATTTAACACTTTACTGATAACGAAACAAAATTTTTTTTTCCACAAATAAATCTCAACAAAATAGAAATTCTTCGGACGACTACAGACGTTTCTTTATTAAATTGCGATAGCGCATGAACAGAGGTTTTCTCTGATTCCTGGAGATTTCAGACGTTTTGTTCAACAAAGAAAAGAGAGTAAAAAAAGGGAACGAGTTGGCGCACGCATTACCCACTGCCGAGCGATTACATCCAAGTCTACACGGCGCATGCCCACCTCTCAATCCAACGAACTGTTCCTCAGTCTTCCAACTAAAACTCAGTATGAGGTCCGCCCGCAGCAGGATTGTGTTGCAAGACCGAATTCGACTTAGAAAGTTCGCGTCATTATTTATACGATTATTTTATAATTATAAAAGTTTTATATATTTTTGGTTTCATTTTGTGGGATTAAAATAAGTGCAATATTAAAGTTATATATATAATTGTGGAATTATTTAAAAAAAATTGTGATGGTGATCGAGATGTGAGGAATTAGAAATAGGATGTGAAAAAAAATCGTTCACAATCGCGATCATAGTGCAAGTGCAGGATTCGGCCGGTGGCCAGGACGATGCGGGTCAGGAAAGGATTCCCGGTGAAAAGGAGGGCCACCAGGAGACAGTTGACACCCCGCTTGCATCGCCCGAGTCG